GCTGAGCACGTGAAGCTAACAGGTAACTTGTTAGAGAAGCTGAAATCGACGGACTTAGTAACTTTGCCTTCCATTAAAAAACCATTGGATGGCCTGGACGAGGCCCTGAAGAAAGCGTTGGACTTGGTAGAGAGTTGTAGAGACAAAAGTTGCCTTTACATGCTTGCCAGGGGATGGAGCATCGTTTATCAGTTTCGCCAAGTACAAGCTGAGATTGATCGATATCTTAAGCTCGTCTCTTTGATTTCACTTGTTCATGAATTTCAAATGCAAGTAAGAATGAAACTGTTACCGTATAATTGGAAAGTTTTTATCTTGAAATGATTAATCAAGAACTTAGAGGAAGGCTTACAGGCAATGGAACAGGATCAAAGAGAACAGTTTTGATGAAGAGATGTAGAAGCCCAGAGTGTTATGTCAAAGCCTGACAGAACAAAGAAAGATGCAAATATGCTGGAAATAACCCTGCGTCGGAGATACCCTGAACTGGCATTCCAGGAAGCTTTGCAAGAAGAAAAAGAAAAACTCTAAGTGGAGCTGCAACGATCACGAACCATCAATGATTCCAAGCAATGCCGTGTGATTGAACATCTCGTTGATGTGACTGAAAATGTTGTTAATGTGCTTCCTGGAAAGAAAGTTCATAAGCTTCTTGTCAATGAACCCAACTTATGTTATAGCAGATCAGTAAGTACTTTAACCTGAGTCTAGCTTTTTCCTCATTCACCTGGGAAATGCAAATTCTAGCAAAATACTTGGAGACTGCTTTAGATTTAGTTGGTTTTTGCGAATATATGGGACAGGCAACATAGGTTGAAGCCCAAATGGCAGGTTGATCTATTCGATTGTTGCAGTGAACCCTGTTTAAGTGGGTTGCAAATAAAGTCTTGATAGCTTCAGCATATTTGATATCAACTCATGCTTTCCATGATAACTCCTAATATTTTCTTTCATGTCACAGGCTTGAAAACCTGCATCCATCCCTGTGGAGTATTTTCAGGCATAACTAATGCTGCGTCCAAAGAACAAATATGTAAGATTCTTCTGATTAACATGGTTAAAATGTTACACCAATAGCAGATGCAGATTCCAAGTCTGATCCCAATTTGCTAACACAGCTTTATGGGGTTGCACGATCCAATGGAAGAAAGAATTGATGAGAAAATTTGCAATTAAGGCATTGAATTTTGTTTTGCAGGGATGATCATGCGATGACTATCTAACCCATCTCATTTGCTGCTGTTATGCAATGGTTCAGGAGTGGCAGGAGCTTGAAGCCAGAGGCTTCGAGGGTAAGCACATGGATTCCTCATTCATAATCATCGTTCAAGTGATTATCTATAACATTGCGCCATTAGAAGAGCCAAAGATGTAAATGATACGATAGTGCTTCCAAACTATTTGGATTTGACTTTAATAAATTCGAATTCAATTTTATCATTATTGATGTTAGGAATTGATGTTTGAGATGTGAAAATTAACTGTTAATAAAAAAACTCATAAAAAAATAACTCATAAGAATTTGACTAATAGCCAAATATGATTATTAGATTAAAAGGGATAAAAGTTCACCACCAAGACTAAAAACTAAAGGATACAGAAACACCATTCTAAGAATTCTAATTAAGAATACAGAACAATAAAAGTTCACTACTTTAAAAAATTTATCTAAGAGATACAGAACTTAAAAAACAATCTAGAAGATTCCCTAAAGATAAAGAAAACTCCATTATGCCTTTTACCAAAGAATAATAGAAAATATATAAGCTAAGAACATCCTTCCAACCATGAAAACTTTCAAATTGCATTACTAGAATCATAACTAAAATCATGAGATTTGCATGTGAACATAATCTGCCCATTTACTCTTGCAGATTACATGATAATAAATCTGACCACAATCCCATCCATATTCATGCTCTTCTTTTTCAGCTAATGTGAACACAATCTCTCTATTCCAGTCCACCTTATTTATATATTTATTTAGTGGATTTGGATCAAGTATAAGCCCATCTTATTTTTGGATAAGTCAACCTTAGTCTTAGCTCAAGTGGTATGATGTGCATATACTCTGGTGTCAATCTCCTCTGATTAAAAAAGACTTATTCTTAAGTCTGAACTAGTATTCTCTCAATGATAAGGTGACAAATCAACAACATTGAAGGTGAAAGATACTGCATAAGTATCAGAAAGCTTTATCTTGTAGGTATTCTTCCCAATGCATTGGAGAATTCTAAATGGACCATCTACCTTAGGTAGTAATTTGCAAAACTTCCCTAGAGGAAATTCTTCTTTTTGCAAGTTAATCCACACTAAATCATGTTCTTTGAACTTCACATATCTTCAATGCATGATTATTACCCTTTTATATTTCTTATTTTCCTACAAAATTTTATTTTGAACCTATTTATAAAATATTTTGATACTCTTGGCTTTTTCTTCTACATCTCTATCAAAATTCTAATTAACATAAAATTGAATTAAATACAAATGACAGATTGCATTCTTACCAAGAACAATTTCAAAAGGGCTGCAACCAATGAATAGAACGACTCTTAGGATAAAGCTTATGCAATATTGAATGTCCCTCATTGGTGATAAACTAGTTGGTAACTTCTCCTGAACAGCTTCTTAAAATTCTATCAATAATGGTTGTATTACTGCAAGGGACTCTTCACTATTTTTATTTTCCTCAATCAATACCAATGCATATATGGTACCACCCATTTTAATTTTTTTTTTGTAATTGACCTTGATAAACAAGTTGCTTCCTTCCCTTTTGGTTGGTTTGGACATTACTATGGGCTTGGTAGGGCCAAGATGATTTTGCATCCATCCTTCATAAATGTGTAAGTGTTACGGTAACCATCATAAATAACCCTCATATCATAATGCCAAGGTCTTTTGAGTAGTAAATGACAAACATCCATCAGAGCTACATCACATCATACTTCCTCATTGTAATTCTTTCTAATGCAAAAAAAGAACCAAACACCTCTTGCTCACCTTGATTTCATTCTCTTTTTACAGCCAATATAATTTATATGGTCGGGGTGATCCACTGCCTTAAGGCCTAATTTCTACACCATAAAGGTAAAAACATTTTCAAAACTTCTACTATCAATTATAATATCACATACCTTCCCACGGATAGTACATCGAATGTGAAACACGTTTTTACGCAACCAATTTTCTTCCTTAGCAGGTATGATAATCAAGCTGCATTGTATGACTAATGATTCTCTCTAATCGCCATAAGTCACATTTTCCTCCTCTGCAAGGTTTTGATCCTCTTCAACCAACTCCTTTTTATTTTTCTCAAAATCTTCCTTTACTAGAGTCACAATCTTCTTATTTGAGCATTTTAAGGTAATGTGTCCAAACCCTTGACATTTAAAAGACCTTTTGGTTTATTCATTAGACTGAAGCTTCCCTTATTGAGACCCAAATCTGAAATTGCTACCACTAGCCTCCTTTTGCTGTCTCTCCATCCTGAGGGCAAGCTTGCATACATCATTGAAAGTCTAATAGGATTATTGTTGCACTACATTAGCTATCTCAATCTTCAATCATTCAAGATATCAGGCAATAGTCTACTTTTTCTGTTCCACCAATTCACATTTTAACTAAGGTGGTCAAACTCAACCGTATACTCCTCTACTGAAAGATCTCTTTATTTCAAATTATGGAGCCTAAGGAAGACATATTGTCAAAATTATCTAAGAGATATTTTCTTTTCAACTATCTTTTTATCTTATCCCAAGTTGTAATTTTTCTCTTCCCTTTTCTTTCCTTTTGCTTATTTAGATTTTTCCACCAAAAAGATGCATGCTTTTTAAGTTTGACGGCCACTAGCTTCACCTTGTTATGCGTAAATAATCTCTAACTTGCCATGGGTGAGATTGGGTGCTATCATCAGAATCGCTATTATTTTCACGATATGGATTGGTTTTGCTTTCATTTTTTTTGTTCCTCATTCGTTGCCTCATTATCTTCTCTCTTTCTTTTTGTATATACAGTTGATGTTGTAGTTGAAAGATCTGTTACCTCATCTCTTCTATGAGAGCATCCATTGGGTCAACATTGGTAATTACTGCAATATCGATGTTGGCTTCAACCTCTTCTATTGGTGCTTGACGACGACGATCTGCCATAGCTCTAATACCAATTTGATGCCCGAAATTGATATTTAAGATGTAAAAATTAACAACGAATAGAAAAACTTACAAAAAAAGATAACTCACAAAAATTTGAATAATGACAGAATATAATTATTGGATTAAAAAAGATAAAAATTCATCACCAAGACTATAAACTAAAGGATACAGAAACACCATTCTAAGAATTCTAATCAATGATATAAAACAATAAAAGTCCACCACTCTAGAAAATTCACCTAAGAGATACAGAATTTAAAAAATAATCTAAAAGATTGCCTAAGGATAAAAAAAAAACTCTATTATGCCTTCTACTAAAGAATAATAGAAAATATATAGACTAAGAACATCCTTCCAAACATGAAAACTTTCAGATTACATTGCTAGAATCATGCATAAAATCATGAGATTTGCATGTGAACATAATTTGCCCATTTATTCCTACAGATTACATAATAATGAATCTGACCATAATCACATCCATATTCATGCTTTTTTTTTTCCAACTAATGTGCACACAATCTTCTTATTACAGCCCACCTTATTTATGTATTTATTTAGTAAATTTGAACCAAGTATAAACCAATCTTATTTTTAGATAAATCTGCCTTAATCCTAATCCAAGTTGTATAATGTGCAGACACTCCGATATCAATTATTAAATTGAACTCGAACAACTCGACTTATCAAAAAAATTGAATTCAAACCTCCCAATGTCCTACTGAAGTAACTCATAAACCTAATTGAACTTTTATATTTTAATATATATTTTAATTATTTTAATTAAAAAATTATTATTTTATTCTTATATATGAATTCATGTTTGAAATCGAATACAAATAATCAAATTTAAAGTTGAACATGAAAATCTAACTCGTTTTTTATTTAATAAACGAACCTAATAGAATGAACTAGGGTTAATCAACTTTTATCTCAAGTTCAAACTTGAAATTTAAAACTAAATCAAGCTCAAATCGAGAGCAACGAATTTTAAATTGAGCTTGAACTTGAATTTGAACTTTTTACTTTATCAACTCGACTTGATTACAGCCCTAATAAGAATGTTAGACTAAGCATTTCTTTCGAGTATTATATTTTCTTTTCTTGCTTGACACAGGATGTGAAGGGAGAAAAATAATTCCTCCACCATACCAATACATGAAGCCTTGAACCTCCTCAAGAAACTAAAATAAAGTTACTGCAACATGTACAAAATGTAGATATTTATTCACCAATGTATCATAACTTATGATTGAAGTGTTCAGTTTTTGTTGCAAATCAGTAGCATAATGTTGAGAAAAAAAGATACTATAATGTTGAGAATCTGACGACTCCTACATGAACCCTTCAATCAGAAAAAACCATCATACCAAGAAATCTTGTTGCAGCAAAATTGGTTTTGTGTTAGCAATGGAGTCAATCTAGAATGAAACTCTGCTACAGTAGTTGTCGCCGTAGCTGAAAATCACACTAAGAATGGAGTGGCAACAAGGAAAAAAGAGTAAGAATTACACCTTTTTTTGTTTATTGATTAGCAAACTACAATTCAACTGTGTGGGATGGTGAATCATTGTTCCCTGGCCAAAAGAGCCATCGGAACAGTTGCGACAACTTACTGGTTTCAGGCTTCTGCTTTGGCTGATCAAGATTGACATTGCAAAGGGTGTTGTAATCGTGCTTTAAATGAGGATGCACAATTCTGTCCTGAAAGTGTGATGAAAGTTATAACTATTAGGAGTTAAGTCATTAGTTTTGTAAACATAGAAGATGGTCGATTATAGTACCTTGAAAACTTCGAATGGACAGAAATCAGTACCATCACAACCCTATTCATGAAAAAGCATCATCACTATCAAATTAATATTAGAAGATATTGACATAAGCCCAAATAAGAAAGGTGCTTCCAAAATAATATAATAGTGCGGCATCCACAACAATAAGTTCTAAGCACTAAGAAACAAGGAAAAAGATCAAAATTAAAAGATGAAAATTGTGGCAGGTGATTATGATATTCTAATATTTGTGATGTAATCATCCCTTTTTCCGATAGAAGATGACACTAAAATTCCACATTGTCCTAACTAGTAAAAGACAAAAGAAAAGGACTTTTACTTTCTGCTGGTATAACCAGTGAATCACTGAAAGACTACCACTATGTTTGAATAGACATTAGTAAAGGAAAGAAAAAGAAAAGAAAGTTTTTTAAAGTAAAAAAAAGGATACATGTACCCTTTTTTTGAATTTTAACAACCGTTGTTTGGATAAATAATGAAAAGGAAAAGAAATATTTCATTATAATATTTTTTTCCAATTATAACCTTTTTTTTTTTATAAAGTAACACATAATATACATATAAATCTTTATACCTAGTTTGTACAAATAAATCTTTTTTGAACAAAATTGAGTATATATAATACGGTATGTTGTATTAGCTAGTTATTGATTTACTCTTAATTTTATGTTTAATTCAGTCTTTTAATTTATTCTGACAATAATTTGACTTGTTTTGTTGTTAAGACTTGAAAAATCATAAAATATTTATAAATTGTGATATTATATAAAATACTTTTAAAAGGAAATTATATTTGTAGAATGTGTCAATTATATAATCAAATCTAATACATTAATAAAAATATGGATATAATAGTTTTTTCATAAAAATAAAATATTTTCAACTATCCTTTCCTTAGCTTTTCTCCCAAATTGAGGTATTAAAAAGGTGAGGATTACAAGGAAAACCAAAAGTTATTAGGTTTCCATCTCTTTCCTTTCCTTTAAGTTAAAAGTTTATCCAAACAAAGGAATGGTTTTACTGTTTTCATTACTTTCCTTTATTCTCCTTTCCTTTCCTTTCTTTTCCCTCCTCTCAATCCAAACATAGTGTAAGAGAAGAAACCAAAGAGTCCAAGAATAGCTTACAGGCATTGGGATCGGATGCTCATTGTGTAGGACTTGCATGAAGTATTTGCTTGAAGAATTAGTGGGACAGCTGTATAAGACTAGCATATTATTCCCAGCAAAAGGTGCCACAATGCTCCCTCTCCAATTTCTTTTATGAGGAGGCTTAGAAGGGAGACCCAAAGGCTCCTCCCTTTGTATTCGCTGGAAATCTGCAATGCTTAAATAAACACCAAATTATCAGCATATAGCTAAAAGCCTACACAGATGCACATAATCATGCTTATAAGTACTTTAAGTATAAAAAGATATCAAGGATGCAATGATAAAAGGCTGAAACCACTGACCAGATCCTTCAAGGAAAAGCCCAAGCAAGCATGAAAAAGGAACCACAGTTTCTGCATGTGCAAAACGCAGTCTTGCCTTCTCATAACTGCCAGGAGCTTGGTTATCTACACATAAAGGAAACACTTGGGAGTCAATGTCGAAAACAAGCCATTATCAAACAACCTTTTGCCTTGTATATCAGTAATCCATAATCACAAGAAAAACATTTCTGACCTGTTTTGGGTTCAGCAAGCTATCTAGAAACTAGGCTAATAAATGGCAACAATAACAACAGTATGCTCTTGATTGTTTTCCCTACTGTATTCTCTAGAATAAAAACTTGTAAAGAAAAAGTTATAGATAGAAGAAGTTAATTACATAATGCATATGCTCAGATGGTATAACATAATAGTCGCAAATGCGAATTATTCTGTCCTTGCTAAACCTGGTCTGTAGTTCCTAAACTAAGAAAGAACAGCATCACTACAGGATATAGTATGAGAACAATTTATAGGCAATTCAAGGATAACCATTTCTATATATCTCTCACTTCTTGACATATAAAGACTAAACAACCAAAATCTCATACTAATATTACCTTCTTTAGCCTTGATAGCTTGGTCCATGGATTGCACGACATCTTTCAGCAAAGGCACTCCCATTCTATAATTTAAGGATTCACCGTAGCCCTTCAACATAAACACCTCTAAATCATCCGTCCACTCAAGCAAAGCAACCTAAATATTTAGACAGCTTTTGTGGGTGAAAAATCGTAAAGCATGGAAGATACCAAGATTAATTAAATGTATACAGCTAAACTGACATGACAGATAAAAGGAATAAATCATGGGAAGCATATTCCTCAAATTAAAGATCTTTTTTAATTTTCCCTGCTTATCAATATGAATATTTACTTAAGGAACAAAGACAAATTAATCGAAACTAACAAGACATTTATCTTAATAAAGCCATTTTCTTCTATGAATTTATACATGTGGAGATCAGGAAACTTATATTTATTAGATTATATATTCAAAGATGAAAAAAAAAAAAAAAAAACTGTATAAAAGGTTTTAGCTGCAATAGTATAATCAATGTTTTTGAAAAAATATCTATATTCCGAAAAATGGTTAGGGCTCAACATATTTAAGGATATTTTCAATACGAAAAGTAATTAGATGTGCATAGAAACTATACCCATCTTTCAAAAGAACAGATCTTAACTCCAACAAAATTGTTTATACTGTTTTCTTCATAAAGTGTAATGAGGCATGAAAATACCTCATTGGGACTGAAAAGATTGCAAGCTTGATCAGTTATATCCAACAAGGACGTTTCCTGCCATATTGAAAATCCAATGGAACCAAAAGAATAAGTAAAAAATTCAGTTGATAAATACTAGAACTTTCTGATTTTGAAAGGGTATCAATACATTTAATATTACCAATTTTGACCAAAACTTTGACCATTCTCTAGAAGTGATAAATTTTCACTGATCATTGCTTTTATCAAAAAATTATAAATAAAATTATACTTACTGATTTATTAAATTTATCATGAACATTAATAACTACAAATAAAAAAATTTTGGAATAGCAGCAATGCATTGGCATGTTGCTAGTGAACTAAGAAATTTGCATGAAAAGAAGATGACTACCTGTTTGCACAGAAACCAGAGAGAGGATATATCCTGTCTTGTGAAATTGAACTCATACCGCTTTGCTAATGCACAGGTAATCTCAGCAAGGATTGGTTCTTTCAGCTTATCAACAGCAGGCTCTTGGTTTTTCCTAAAGTCCTGCATTCATATATCCATTTTAAATAAGCAAATGAAAAAGCAGACTAATTAAATTACAGCATAAATGAACTATTATTCAAAAGTTGAAGGTTAGATGTCTAAGAGATAAAAGTACTGATTGTGAAGTATGGAAATAATAAGGAATACAATAGAATGAATGTTTGACCAACATAAAATTCTTAGAAAATTTTCTTGCACTAAACTTTTTAAATTTGAAGTAGCAAAAAGTGTATCATTATAGAGATATGAAAAAACTAGAAACACATAAATATATTAACTACACTTGTGTTGGTGCTTTACTAATAAGGGAGAAACATCACATATACCTTATAGGTTTGACAACAATCAAAAAACCTCAGGATTATGTCACTTGCACGACTTTCACTTGTAACAGCAAAAGCTCGATAACGCCCTGGCCCTAGACTTCCTTTGCCACTAAATAGTCCCATGCCAAATGCCACAGCACTAGCAGAAGCCCGAGGTACCTTTCCCACAAAATAAGAAAGAAATGCACATGAGTTCTAAATAAATCAAGAAAAACAAATATACCAATAGGCCAGATTCAGAGCTGGAGTCATAAAATCAAAAGTAATGAAAACTGGCATCATTCAAGAATGAATACGGAGACAAAGAAAAAGGGGTTACGGAGTAGCATCCATATATTACACAAGAAATTCTAAAATAAAGAGAAAAAGTTTGTGGAATCAAGTTGAAGGAAAATCTTTGAATAAAGCATTTATATAATAGAAGATAAAATTTTAAACACAGAACCAACCTGCGTAGTCTTTATGGGATACACATCAGGGTGGTATTCCTCATTAAATATATCAGGAAATCTTTCCCTAACCCTGATTCCAAGCTGATACAATTCCTCCTCTCCTTTGCTATCCAATTCTCCACCCTTCAATTTTCCTTTCCAGGGAGATTCCCATTTCAGTAACCACGCAGGGACTTTCAGTAGGGACAAATTCTTTTCTTTAGCATCTTTTAGACGTTCCTGTATATGAGAAGCCAACTTTTCCAACTCTCTCATACGCTTCTTAGTAGGAGAACGAGTTCCATGTCTTGCCTAAAAAATTTGAATTTGGATTAATCTCCCTTTTACTCTTAATCTTCTAACAAGAGAGTTTGGGCATTCAACAAGTAATACAAAACCACACAAAAAATCTCAATGATAAATAACAAAAAGAAAAGGCTACAAAACAATGAGTCTCAAATAACAATTCAACAAGAACAAGCAGCCTAATCCTTGCTATTATGATTTGGACAGGAAATATAACATACTAGCTTCAAAATATGCCTTTCAAAGAGTAAGAAAATCTTAAAGATATCCGAAAAAGCTAAAAATCTAAAACATCACACAACACTTAACCCGACTTTTTCATGCATCAGCAATCAAACTTTGCAGTATTATTCTAAGTCATTAAGAATTTCAAAATGCCATCCTAATTAAGCCTCCGGAAAAAGCACATCATAAGTGCATTGCAAATTGCCCCTATACAAGTTTCCCCTAAAAAATTTTACTACCAACTCACCTAAACTAACAGGGAAAAGGCTTAATTTTTAAAAGTATTCACACCACAAACACCTCTAAATTCATATCATTCTATTATCTATTTCCTTTTTCAATTCAACCGCATCTCTAGCTATCAAGAACTAAAAACTCAAATTTCATGAAAATAAAATAAAATTACCACAAGATTTAAGTGGATAGGAGTACATCCAACAGGAAAATCAGAGGGTACGAAGGAATTGTCAACAATATCTTTCACTGCACCATATCTGCTCCAAAAAAATTTTTTTTAAAAAGAAATAATTAAAATAAAAATACAAAGATAACGGAAATTGCGATTCGACGGAGAGCGAAAGAAAGCGAGACCTTGTCACAGTAGAGAGGTGTTGACGAACATCGAAATCTTGATCGGCTTTTGAATTCGAAAATAAAGTTAAAACGAGCAACAGAATAGCCACCGAAGGCATCTTCTCCGGTAACCTTGTTGGAAAATTAACTGGAAAATGAAGCATTTATATTTTTGAAAGACCAGCAAGCGTGTGACACATAAAAGCGATTCATTTCCACGTTCTTCAAGAAACGCTGCCTCTTATTCCGTGCTACGCGCCGTATGGTAATAAAGCATCTGAGCTGTTTCTATCGTTGATTTAGAATACATCGCCATAATCTCAACAATTTTGATCAGAGTGCTATTAAAACTGGCAGAGGTTGCTTTTCATGTCTCATTGCCGCGTGGCGCTGGGCCCTTTCAACCCATGGAAAACCGACAAGTGGACATGTCAAAGCTCTCCACGTGGCAGTTTACAGCAATTTGCTTGGGAGGTGGGACATTACTGGCCTTCTCTTTGGGCCCTTGGATCCATTATTGAGGAATCACGGCCACTTAAAGTGTGGTTTGTGCCCAGGGACCATGAAAGCCCATATTCAAATCTAGGTGGCGGTCTCGAGGCCCACAGAATCAGGAAAAGGGCAAAAGTTGGATGGGTTTTTGTGGCTTGATCCGGTTCAACTGTCACAAAAATTTTTCGGTTTGCCACAGCTCACATATCTTACTTGGCTGGCCTATTTAGTATAGGTGGTCACACCATAATCTTAGAGATATAAAATAAATTCGTATTCAAAATAATTTCAACTAAATCTGAAATAATTTGAATAAAAAATGAATTTTAACTCAATTTAAACTCAAAAATCATTCTAAAATAATTATATCTTATTTAAAATATAAAATATCTAAATTATTTCGATTTAAAATGATTCAAATTAAAGATGATAACAGTTTAAGATTAGGTTCAAAATTTTGAGATATTATATAATATTATAAATTTTTAAATTTTAATCATAATCTTAATCGAATTTTTATATGATCTGATTTGATTTAAATTAAATTTTATCAATTAAATTTATTGATTTTTAAATTTAAATTTTTTTATTTTTATATACTATTTTAATATAAAATTTTAAAATATTTAAATAAAATTTGATATAAAATTATTATTTTTATTTTATAAAAATTTTAAAAATATAAAATTAATACAAATATATAATTCGATTCAGTCATTTTTTTTCACCTCCTGTTTTAAAATTCATTTTAAACTATATATATATATATATTTAATATCTCAACTTAATTTAAATTGAATAAAAAAAAACATATCCAAACTGAATACAATAATTTAAATCAAATTTTATTTTTTTTTTAATTTTTTCACCCTAATTCAATTTAAAACAATTTGAATTTATCTAAATCCGACATCACGCAGAAATGATTCGTGAGCAGCAAGGCAGAGGTGGTTTCTATTCGAAATACTTTTCTTGAATTGATCTTTCTAATAAGCTTTCTCCGGTCTGAGAATGATTTGATTTTAATTGACTAACAACTATAAGAAGATGATATTTTCATAGATGAGAACCACCACAAACACACCGATGACTTTGACAAGATAATGGTCATTGACCCAGGGATTGTTTTCCACTCATGAAAAGCACAAGGAAACTTCAAATTATCAATACTCACTTTAGATTGGACCTGTTGAAGGTTCGAATTATCCGTACAAATTTGAAATTTTATTTAAGTTTTAAAATAATTTAAATAAAAATTTAAAACCCAAATTTGCACAAAATTTTTATACTTGTTTAACTTTTAAATCCAATTTTAAATAAAATATTTAAAACTTGAACCTACCTAATACAAATTTACTATATATATATATATAATTTATTTATTTATATATATAAATTATATATAAATTAATTCATAAATATAATAAAAATTATATATTTTTTATTTATAATTTATAATTTTCATTTTTACATATATATATATAAATTAAATATAATATTATTACATTTAATTTAACCACTTTTTTATTTTTTATTATATAAATTAAATTTACTATGTAAGCTTGAAATTTATTTTTTTAATTTAAATTAAACTTTGAAAATTTTTTAATCCCCAACTCAAAACCAAATATACACACACATATAAACTATTAATATTGAACATGAAACAATGAAACCTAGACATTTCAAATCATAACAAATATGAAAAAATATATATATAATCTACTAAATAATCCCCAAGCTTTTAACTTAATGATTAAAAATATTTGAAAAAATATTAAAAATCTGATTTCGAATCAAAACTTTACTAAGAATTTATCCTCCTAAAATAACCCAAAAAAAAAAAGTTATAACCTACTAAACCCAACTCATAAACACCTCTACTCCTGGCCATATGGTTAGGTTCCAGTTATTATCAAACTTTTCCTTTGAGCTATCTGCTTAACGTTGCAGGATTTAAACGAAGAATACTGTCATTAATGCGGCACACGAAAAAGAATTTTGATTAAGAGGACTTATATCCCTTATTAGCTCTTATCATCAACACAAAGTTTCTGCACTAATTATACAGCTTACAACCAAAATCTCTCTGCAACGAACCACTGACACAAGACCCTTATAGAACAACCTCTGACGTGGAACCAGGCAGCCGGTCCAGTTTCATGCAATAGCTTCCGCTTCTTCATGGAGAAGCATCTGATCAAAGTGCCATACTCCTGAATATCCACCAAGGACATTAAGTTCGGGGAACCAGGGAACCAGGAACATGTAAAGAATAAAAAATAGATGAACAAGATGAAAGCATGGTGGCATAGAGTAAAGGATTCATACCATGTCCTTTGCCAACTCTTCTCAACTGAGCCACATATTCTGATATTTTCTTGATGGCCTCCACCTACAGAGAAAGTAAGGGAGGATCGAAACCGTGAAGCTATTTCTGTTGTTATTTTGCAACATTTTTATAAAAGCAGATTTTATAGAACCCAAAACTGTATTTTACCTGCTCAGCTAAGTATTTGCCTTCAATGAAATCTGTCAATTGCGGATCATGGTTCCGTTCAGCCACCTGTTTACCACAAAGCCTTGACCATTAGTTCAACGAAAACTGTTTGTTATCATCTTAGAAACATCCACAATGTAAAACAACATGGCTGTTGAACATGGTTTTGTCCGATGATTTCGTAAACCAAATCAATGAGACCTTAGACCTTATTAACATGTTAAAAATCAAAGCGTAAACAGAAAACGGGATAGCAAAAATAGAAAGAGAGGAAAGTCTTACACTCTGCAAGTTCAAGAGCTTTTCATTTGTTAGTTTCTCCAGGGACAAGGCAAGCTCCATTGCTGAACCAAAGAATCAGATACAATCAGTTTCAACAACATACAACATACAACATACTAACATCGAAAGCACGGTTTTACCACTTTTGACTTATTTGACATTATCATGCTCTCCAATTCAGCGTTAAGAAAGATGAACAGATGATATATCACACGAAATTCCAAATACTCCATGGATGATATATCTCTTTGTTGTCTAGATTCCTAATATATGAACGCATCAACCATACAGATTTACAAACATTTACAAACATACTTTTCCATAGCTACAACGTGATTCTATATCTCATTGCTTTGTTCATGTGGATATATATTATCTGACGGTGAGAAAAAACAAGAAGGCAGCCAAATAAGAATTGAAACACGTTTTACCTAACCAGCCACAAATCTAGCTCTAATAATTTCAACTCACCATACAATGCATCTCCTTTCTCTGCATGATCAAACTCAGAGAGGGGCATCAATATGGACTGCAGCTTCACTTTTCCACCTCGTTTGTTCTTATAATAATAAACAATCCGAATCACGAAAACAATAGCAGAGACAAAAGAACAGCAAAAATAAGCAAAAGACAGAATAGATCAAAAACCTGGTATTCCATCAATTTCTCAGCATGCTCTCTCTCTTCTAAACTCGATTCCTTGAAGAACCTATTCACCAGAAAGCCTCAATTTAGCTCAAAACCGAAAACGGGTACCAAAAACCTCAGCAAAATCGACAGTTTTCAAGAAGAATTACTTGGCAAGACCCTTGAGTGCAATGTTGTCCCTATCAAAGTAGGCAAACATAGCATGGTAGACATAGGAGACATTGTATTCGACACTGTCATTCCAAAACAAAATGAACAAAACATTAGAACATAAGCATATACATATACAAGTTGTGTAACAAAGTAGAGTACAGCAAATCAGAACCTCATCACTTAAAGCCATAGCCATCGAATATAAGCCCAAGTTTAATATATCAGAATCCATTCAAAATTTATTCTTTAAAAGGAAAAAAAAAAAAAAAAAAAAAGAGAATCTTGAGGCTAAATCCTAGTTTTGACCGGAAATAAAGTTCATGGAATTCGGTCATACATTTAAATTAGCTTCATACAGAAGTAAAGAACAAGAAAAAAAATTATTTTTTTGACATAAATAAGCAGATCAAAGCATAAAAGAACCTTCTTTTTCTCAAGAATCTTAAAACTGAAACCTTTTTCTCAATACAAAGTTGACTAAAAATCTAAAAAGAAAAGAACCCACTTGATTTGTTCGTTGATAGCAGCTTCACACTCATCGGTAAACTTTTGACGAGCCAGAGAAACTTGAGGCAAAGTGGGGACAAGATCAAGCTCCTTCTTGACTTCCTCAAAGGGTGCAAAAACGACACCGGTTAGGGGCTTGGTGTTGTGTCCTTTGGTAGCGCAAAGTACAACAGACCCAGTTCCATTTCTTGGAGAAGAAAGCCGAAGAATTGAAGAAGAAAAAGAATTGAAAAGGGAGGTCTGAGATGAAGAAATAGAGGAACACAGGGGACCCAGATTTTCCACTTGAGGATTCAACAAAGAAAAGGCTGAAGCAGCTTTCAGCAACATGGCTCAAAAGAAAAAATGAAGCTTTTGACGAAAAGGGAAAAGAAAAACAGAGATTTTTGCAAACCGTGGAAGATTGAAGAGGAGGGAGAAGAATTGGAGGGTTTTGAATGGTGAAGGGAGTGAGAGTAAAAGCGTGGCTAGTGACAGGATAGTACCATTGATTGATGACACGTGGACGGTGGGAGCGTGGCAGGCTCGTGGTTGATTTGCAGATATTAATCTAGTGTCTTGGGGGACCATGTGATCCAGAAAAGGTTCTGCTTTTGCTGTAATCTTTGCTGTAATCATTCGGAGTCTTGTTGTCTATGTCAAAAGGACACGATATGTAAATATCAAAGCAATTTTTTTTATTTTTTTAATGAAAAATTCAAAATTAGATAAATCGTTAAATTTTTAAAAAATAAAATAATATATATTAAATTTTACGTTTTAAAAATAATAATTACAATCCATACGTTCGACATGATTTAATAAAAATATCATTGACTAAATTTGAATTCAAAAATTTTACATCAAACAGAACAATCCTGAGATAAAGTAATTGTTATCTTTGTAGTTGTGTGACAAAAGAGAAAGATAACGAAGTTGGAATATTAGAACAATTTTTCTTTTTTTTTTTTTTTTGTTTGGTTTTGTAGTATTGTGATATTTGAGTTTGATACTAATTCAAGTGTTGTAGTTTGTATCTTTTGTTCTTTTCTGGTTTTTATGTTTGTGTCACCCACTTTTGATCGCAAAATTTTCCTTTTTTTTTCAAGAAATAATGGTAAAATTTTGTCCTTTTATTTTTTGTAATGTAATATGTTTTTATATTTTATACTTTATCAAACAAATTTTTTATTTTATAAGCCAGTTAAAAGATTATCATGTATATTTTTTTATTATATTAATTTTTTTAAATATATTTTTCTCATATATGTACTAACTCATAATTTTATTGGTGAAAATTTTAAATTACATTATTTATAGAATTTTAAATTTCCTCAACAATTTATTCAATAATTTATATATATTTATAAATTTTTATTATTAACATTTTGATAGAAAAGAAAGTGCTAATATAATTTCAAAACTCCTTATCATTATCAATAAAAGGTTGGTTAAATTAATAAGAATTATTTTTTTTTACTTAAAAATTTTAAGTTTAAATTTAATCGATAATTTTTTATTAAAATTATTTATTAAGATTATTTTAAATGTATAACTTGTATCCATTATTTTTAAAATTGTTTAATATAATATATCTTAGATTTAAAAATTTAAACAAATCTATCAATTTTGAATTTTTCTTTAAAAAAAAAAAAAAACAATATGATTTTTCTTCTATGTACGGATGAGAGGAAACTTGGTGGAACTTGGGGAAAGGAGCTTTTATAGAGTTATAGAATTGTTAAGGGAATATGTGAAACATTTGACTTGATTAAATTAAGTCAAATTTGGAGTATTTATTGAATAAAAGGAGCTATTTTAACTATCACTGATAATTTTTTTTTATAATATTTTAATTTAAAATATAAATATAATAATATTATATAAATATTATATAAAAATAAAAATTTTATATGATTTAAAATTATGATAATAATTATATATATTTAATAAAAATTATATTTTATATTTTTATATTAATATAAATTATGATACATAATTTTTATATAAAATATAATTATAATATTTTATATGATATAAATATATAAATCATTAAATCTATTTAATATTTACTTTTGTATTTTGTTGTTTGTTTTTTTCTCCCCTTTTTTAGTCCACTCTATAGTCTGGACGGATAAAAATATCATTGGTTTCCTTTTTAACTGTTCTTCAATGGATGGGATGTGTTAGAAAAGAAAAGCATCCAAGAAAGGGTTTGAATAGGGACAAAAACATTTTAAAACAGAAGGATATTGGGAGCTGCAAAATGGTTTTAGTAAACAAAAACACTAATTGATCTCATAGAATAGGCAAAGTGGAGGCCTATCACTTTTTATTAGGCTAAATGTGATCGTCAATGTGGGAAAAAAGAACCTTAGCACCACTTTTATCATAGTAAGTGTACATTTCAATGTTGATTATGAGTTATGATTGAAGTGGCCCATCTAATTCCCTTATTATCACTACCATCTAACAATAATTGTTTTTTATTTATTTTATAAAAATTTATTAAATATTATTTATAATAAAATTTTTATTTTTGCAAGTAAAATTAATATGGTGATATATGTCATTATAAGCGAAAAAAAATGAAAAACTCAAAAATTGATTTAAAATTATAATATTTAATTTGTTATGAATTAATTTTTTTAACGCAGTTTGAGTTAAAGTCTAATATTAAATATATAATTCAATTCCGATAAAATTTTAGATCAAAATATGAAAAATTAAAAAAAATCAAACCGAATTTAATTATATATCTTTATTAATATATATTTTAAATTTTTATAAAATAAAAATAATTATTTTATATATAAATCTATTTACATATATTAGTATATAAAAAACAAAAAAAAATAAAAAAGTGATAAATCGAATTGAATTAGTAGGATATGGTTTAGATCAAATCAATTTTTTTAAAAAAATCGATTCGGATTCAGATCAGATTTAAAAATTCATAATATTAAATATTATTTAAAAATATATAATTGAATCTAAACTGTTATCACCTCTAATATCACTTAAGATATATTTAAAAAATAAAAAATTAACTAAAAAATTACACTCATATTATCCTATTAATCTCGTCTGTGAACTAAAAAAATTCATTAAAAGTGCATTAAATAAAATTTTTTATTTTATTTAGGTAAATCATACTTTAGAGATGTTGCTTCTTTTTAAATGGGCTTCAACTAAAAGCCTATTACCAAAAAAGCTATATAAAGATTAGCCCACCTTTGAAAGGCTGGGAATTCCAATTGGAGTGTCAAAAATACTAGATGGGCTAGCTTCTAGAAAAGAACCCTAACATTTTTGGGCTAGCTGAATATGGCTTTGTTGGGACCCAACATAGATGCCCTTAGGATCTCTAACTTGAGGTCCTTATTTCAATTATAAGCCCAAGAGGTCCCTACCACATTTTGCCTCCACAAAATGTTGAAAGAAGCTTTGGACCCACCAATATGTATATTTTGCTATACTATTTTTTAATTATTTTTAATATACTTTATATGGCATGTGATTGTGTGTTATCCTACCAATTTCATTGGTAAAAATTTAATAACTTCAATGCTAGTAGGCGAGATAATATATATATATATTCTCATATTTAGATTATCGTAATAAAAAATAAATATCTTAGAATATATATATATATATATGATCGTAGGTCTTATCTTAAATTTAAATTTGTATAGGTTACATAATCATCAAGTTAATAAAAATATATTAATAGTGTGACGCTCCTAATTCTATGTTTAAAAAATATATAGATATGGTATAATATATATAAAGAGATTTAAATTTAAATTTGTGAGACTTTTTTTATTGGATAAAATCATGAGATTTTTGTATCAAAACGAATAATATTTTATAGATTAGGTATCAATTTTTACAAATATAATTAGTTATACTTCTTGTGTAAACTTTTTCACATACTTATAAATTTATAAATTAACCTCATATACATATAAATAAAAAATCGGAATCCAATCTTAAATCTTTACTATAATAAAATTTAATAGACCAAATAATTGTTCCTTTTTAAAAAAAAATTAATCTATTTTTATAGTAGTGTTATTTAGTTATTTTTTATTTTTAATATTAAAATTAAAATTAAAATTCAAACTCAAAACTCGCAATTTTGAAGTCGATTTTAGTGTCGATAAGCTAATAGTTCAATGATAAATTGTTCATTATTCGCTGGTGTAAAGAAAATACAACTTAAACAAAAGGAATTGAAAAAGAGAAATTGCACAACAGCCAAACCCCAACAGTGAGATTACCATTGATCATGGTAAAAGACAATCAACTTTAATTACGACCGTATCATGACAGAAAAAAAAAATGGCATCTCGAAAATAGACCTAATTCATTGCTACGAAGCTCATTTAATGCACATGCATTGGAGGTCTCATGTTTTTCCTTGTATGGTGGTGAAGATGTCTGTTTTTCTTCCTAAAATATTCTTTGCCTTAAATCTTTTGCAGAAAAGTTCACAGAATTCGAACAAGAACAAGGTTCTTACCCCTTTTTGACATGGTCTCACCTCCCTAGAGCTTAGCTTTTTGATAAATAGTACTCTTGATGTTATCATTAGAGAGGCCACCCGATGGGGCACTCCGGACACAAACTTTGTTTCTATGGTCAGCCATAGTTGACAAGTAAAACCAGTGGGAGATGAGTTTGAATAAGTAATATAAAATCATTTTGATGATGACCTAATTAATGTAAGCTCGTTATAACTATTCACTCAATCAACAAAGTTAATTTTTATGTACGTTAAGTAATTATATGTTCGATTATTACGTTACTATTAAAATAAGTTAATAATCAGACTCATCATTATAAAGTAGATTCTTTTTTGTTTTAAAAAAGATTTGCTCAACTATTTTTACTAACGTCTTATCAATATATAACTTCACAACAAATCAATTAATTTTTAATTTATTTGAAATTATTAAATATAATTCTCGTTTACTTGATATCATTAAATGTAATATATACTACTTACTCATATGATTTTTTTTTTCGAGTTTCATATGGATTTATCATTAATTGTTAAAAGCCTTGATCACGTCATTGTTTTTTCTCTCATATATAAGATAAAAAGAAGGTTTAGGTATAGTAAAAATACTATATCCTTCTTCCTCAAGCTTCCTTAGCACTCTTAATAGTTAACATTCTTCTTTCTAAAAAGTTAAATATTTATCTAATTTGAGTGTCGAAATGCATCTCAAAAAATTAATTTCAGCATTCTTTGATATGCTTTTCCTACTATAAATACAAATCATCTCTCATAGGACCTCCAAATCACCACCCATCCTACCAACACTCTAAAAGCACCATCAACAAACTTAAATTTTTGTGCATAAATTTGGAATTTAGATAAGAAAAGTGGGTTCTTTTTTTCCAAAATTATTTAGTTGGGAAAAGAAAAGGCAGAATTGGCCTTGCATTGTTGGTAGGGGACAAGCTAGTCATTTCATTCAGGTAGAAGATCTTCATGAAGAAAATATATGCAGGAAGGAAGGGGTGCCCAAATTGGCAAAATAAAACTCACTGTCTACCCAAAACAATTCGTCATCTGATCATAACAATTTTTAAAAGCAAAAGATTTCATAACTCATAAGAGAAGCCAACACACATGCAAAAACACAATGAAAAAGAGAGCTTTGTTGTTGTCGTTGTTATTGTTTTATTGAAGACAGAAAAGGAAGTTTGGAATCATGTGATGGGCCATTAATGCAAGAGTGAGAAATACTGATAAGACTTAGGGTTCCTACAAAAACTACAGATTTCAATAGTAATCTCCCTCGAAATTGGTTTCACTTATAAAAATCCCTCTATATATCTAATTTTTCATGTCAGGATCTCATTAATTTCTTTGTAGGGTTTCGTTCAATTATCTTCACTATTAAATTTCTGGCTCATCAGATTAAAGCATCTTATAGTTTCTTATTCTCAATTCAAACATTGATGAAAATATCATGAAACCAACTAATAATGCACACATGTGAAAAACCCATCAAGATAATGTTGCAACGACAATGATGATAAAAGGACTTAGCTCAAATATGTGTTGTTTTCATATGTTTTCAAGTGGGTTTGGCAGCTAATCAAGAGCTATATGTACTTGTGAAGGGCCTTAATTGAGTTTGGTGATGCTTTGCGAAGATGAAATTAAGTCAATGTTTTAAATGTTGTTAGCTATTTGATTTAGCCTTTGATGGACGTGTAGTTAAGTTTTAATTACTATAAATTAAATTTGAATGTCAATTCTAATAAGATTTATTCTATATAAATTTTTTATTAAAATTTTTTTCAATTACAGTAATAATAATTTTTTTTAATTGTAGTTATAATAATTATTATTATTATTTTTAATCTTATCAAAATTAATCTAACTATTCATCTTAATAGACCCTTAATAAATTGTCATTTTTCTCTTATAAAAAACCCACTTCCGTGGATAAATCTTTATCCCATATCGATCCATTATGGGACAAACAAAATAAAGTTCTACTTGCTTAAGTGGCTGACTAATTTGAACGTTAACGATTCAAAGACACACAGAAGGCGGATTGGTGACACTCAATCCCAGTTTCCCCATGTTGTAGAAAACAATGGGCTGTAATGATATTTCAATATTGTTTCTTGTTGTTTTGCAAAGAAAATCTTTGACAGGTTCAATGACTTGGTCAAAACTAACTACATCACCAGTGCTATGACCTAACCAAAATGAATCTCTCTTTTAAATGGACCGATTGGATATAGCAAATGACTAGCTCACGAGATCTAGCAAAATCATATAGGAGATTGAGTGATAACGATTGAAGATGACTCGCTCACGAGAGTGCCAGTGACTAGCAAAATCATTAGGGGGAGGTATTTTGATAATTTTGGTCAAGTTGACGTGTCGGATCAACTTAAAATTTTGAATTCTAAACAAATTTAATCATCTCAACAGTCCAATTATCAGCAGATGAGAGTGTTAATTTGTTATCTACAAATAAACCGTCAATTGCCAACTCAATTTAAGTCTATGATGTCGATCCTAATCCCTTTATACTGAGCTTTGGCTGTCTAAACCTAAGATCCTTATTAAACAAGTATAAACAACTCCTTCCAAATACTTCTAAATTAACTAGAACTTTTAGTTTCTTGATGAATTATGATTATAAAAAACCAACTTGGTTTCTATTATTTAAATTGTTATAGAAAATCATGCTTTAAACTATAGTGCCACCTTATTAATTATATGAATATATAGATTAAAAGGAAGTGTTTAGATCACTCATGAAGTTAAGTTTTATTGTATGCACACACATGCTCATGTTGACGGTTTGTTGAAGTAATTAATGATTTGGGTCAAACCACGCACATACATGGATCAGGGGAGTTTGCTTTTGCTTGTGCTCACGTGAATCTTTGAATGGGTGGCTAACAGACATTCACGTTCAGCCTCGCCTCGCCTCGCCTCCTCTCTCAAGGCTAAAGGTCTCGAGTCTAGAGTTTATTTTCCATTGTTTTGCAATTAGGGTATTTTATGATCCAAAGGTTAAAATAAACATTTTATTTTAGAGTGTGAGTTGAGTTAATTTTACTCAATTTGATCAGTTAATGTGTTAAGTCGACTTAAATTTTAAAATTTTATATGAATTAAATCATTTCAATTGATTATATGATGACATATAAAAATACTAATTTGTTATATTCTGATTGGATTATTGACTATTAGTTTAATTTAGGTCAACGATATCACCCTAAATCCCTCTCAAGTAATATAGGACTTGAATTTGATATATACATACTTTCTTAAATATGAGAACACAAACACTAAAAAATCTCTTACCTTTGTTATTAACCAATATCTTATCTTATGATTACAAAATTCTGCTCCTTTGTTGACAGCTCAACACCAACATCCATGTTTGTGACATTTCTAAAAGAATAAATCTCTTATGGTCTTATTATTATTATTATTATTATTATTATTATTATCCCAAGCCTAAGCCCTTACCCCAAATTAACCCCTAATGCCATGCACTCACGTTGAGGCATTAATTAACCTCAGAAGATGGAAGAAGAACGTGAAAGGCATACCCCATTTACATTTATAGACTGCAATATATATTTATATATATATATATATATATGTATGTATGTATGTATATGGCCAACTACTACATCCTTTGGCGGCGGTCAACTGTTACCGTTGGGTTTTTCTCAGGTTTAGGCCCGATGGAGTTGGGCTGGCGCCTCTGGTATTTTCTTTTGTCACATTATAGAAGCAATGGTTACAAAATATATACCTATTTAATTTGCTGGGAATATATATATGATAATGATACATAGTTATATAGTGTATTTTTAGTTTGTTTTGAAAAGGAATTTTCAAAGTTACATTTTCTTTGGCCTTCTGGTTGCTTCAATGTCCAAACTTTCTTTGTCCCTTTCTTAAATATTTTATTCATCCAATGGTTCTATTTTGGACCCATATGGACAAAACAAATCTAACCCTATTTATCAAGAAAAGTTGGAGATATACTGTCATCAGTTGTTGAGATGCCAACCTTACTTAATCGGAATTCATGTATTAATTCATTTGGTTCATGCAATTATTTTCAAGATGTCAGTTTATGAGTATTAACATTGAATTGTTTTTTAAAATAAAGAGAGTTACCCTGGCTGAAACACGGCACACTTGGGGCACATACGTTCTTTGGCTATTATAAATATGCATACCCTCTCAGCTTATTCTCAACAAATCTACATTAAGCTTGTGCTTTTACTCTCACTCTTCCTAGCAGTTTTTCATTTCTTATCGTCATAAATATTTACCAACAAATTTAAGCACTTTGGTTCCCAAATATGGGAGGAAATTCGCCATGTGCTTCCTGCAAGTTGCTTCGTCGACGCTGTGCCAAGGACTGTATCTTCGCCCCTTACTTCCCTTCTGATGATCCCCACAAGTTTGCCATAGTTCACAAGGTTTTTGGTGCTAGCAATGTCAGCAAAATGTTGCAGGTTCCTCCACATCTCTGCCTGAAGTTTTCTTTTCATTTACAAGCAATAATATTGGCCGATATGTTACTTAATTAGTCATGAATTCATGATCACTACCTTAGTTACTAATGTTTTTTGGAAAAAACCAGGAGCTACCAGTTCAGCAACGGGCAGATGCAGTGAGCAGCTTAGTGTATGAAGCAAACGCAAGGGCGAGAGACCCAGTTTATGGATGTGTAGGAGCCATATCTTATTTACAGAACCAGGTTTCTCAGCTTCAAATGCAGCTAGCAGTGGCTCAAGCTGAAATACTGTGCATCCAGATGCAGCAAGAGCCAATGCTACCAACCCCTCAACTTGACCAAGAAGATGTTAAATCATCTTTTCTCCACAATAACCACCTCCCATCTCATCATCATCATCAGTACCTCAATTTTGCTAATCCTTCTACTAATGTAATCCATGATTATTCTCTCAAGAGAGAGAGCATCTTTGGGGACATAGTATCTTAATAAAATCTCTCTTTTCTTTTCAAATCAATGAAATTAAGAGTTATTAATTTCATTTTTTTATTTTAATTAAAATGAAAATTAGAGACAGAATATAAAGTGCGTGGCAAGACAAGAGTATGTTGCTAAGGTCAACTCTAGCATGTGACAAGTGAAGTAAACTAGAGTTTTCCTTAATTATATGATTTCGATAATTCGACAGTAATTATTAATGAAATTTTTTTGTTGATAATTTCATCCAAAAAAAAAATTTCCTATCCATTAGTACTATTCTTTTTTAAAATCAATTTGCAGTGTTTTTGCTTTGATTTCATGGCTGTTACTTAAGGTAATTAAACCAGTAAAATCCTTATTATCAATCAATTATAAAATCCATCTCTCTCCATACTTCCAAGAATTTTAGATGATGAATTAAGGTGAGACAAAGACAACAAAAACTGACCTAAGATTCCTCACTTTGTTTAATGTTGAAGCATTTCCCAAAAGTCAACCTTTTTCAAATTTTCTTCTATTAATCCCCATCAAATCCAACTTTTCTTGTATCTTTTCCTGCCAATTCAAGCTGGATATCATCATTCCATTTATCCTATGTTTTAAAACTAAGTGTTCAATGGCGAGCTTGAATATATGTTAAATTTGTATGATTATTGTTGACGATGAACGTTGAGGTTGAGTTTTGAGTTAAGGGTCAGAATCCTGAAATCACAAAAAAATAAGAGAGCAATTAAAAATAAAAGTAGGAGGTAATTCTTATATTTACATTCGATACTCAAGTCAATGGTTACAATAAAAAAGAGGTCAAATTGAGTGAAAAATAAAAATATAAAAAAATTTTCATTTCAATTGATAAAATATTTGAATGACTCTACTTATAGATTAAAAGTAAGAGATTTGTTAAATAAAATAGTAATATAACTGAACAAATGTGTTATTGTATAAGTCAGATTGAATCAAAAATAAAAAATATTTTCGATTATTTGTTGATAGTCTCTAATAAAAAAAAATCAATTTACTCTTTGAATCCAAAAACATCTTTAATAACTATTTTTTAATAGTATAATGTATGATTATTATAATGTCAGAAAAATTAAAAATGAATTTGTACCCACATCAGCTTTTAGAAAGTAATTAAAGATGTGCAAAAAAGAAAGAAGAGATTATCATTTGATTGATTCCTTTAACACAGTTTCAATGTTATGGTATTTACATTTTACATTAGAAGACAAAGATATCTCACTTTTGATCTATCAACTTCGATTTCCACTTCTTTATGGGGACAAAGATGAGACAGTGGGTCAGAAGCTTGTTACATGAATGATCTTTTGAGGGCTCGAGGATAATACTTCCAAAGAAAGGCTGTTTGATTTTCAAAATACATTCCATCTTTTCAGTTATATCATCATCTTCTCTCTTCTCTCTTTTTCCACCTCTTTCTCTTGTCTAAGTCATCCTATTAGAATATAAATATATATATATATATATATATATATATTTCAGCCACTTTGCTTAAACACACAAAATGCCAAAGTGATTGAGTGGGAGAGTCAATCATCAGCCTGACTGTTCAAAAAGAACCTAGGGCTATCTAATTTAATGGATTCATTGTTCATAAGGGAAGACAAGCATTTTCCATTGATTTAAAGTTGTCGGAATTAAATCTTAATCACTAAAACTAAAATTGTAGCAAATGAACATGGGTTTCGGACAAAGATGTGAATATGGGTAACGTTCTTGGACCATCCATGACTGTTCAAAATATATAATGGCAAAATGATTTTGAAATCAAGTTTATGGGTGTTCGTTTTTGTTGTGGTTGTGTTTTTTATTTGAAAAAAAGGGGATTTCGAAACTTATCATATGATCATGTAACCATTAAGTCAAATACTCGAATTCTATATGTTGTATTGCTAAATGTTGATGGAATAGAAAAGTTTATGAGTTTGGCCTTGTGAACTTGAAAGTGTTACAATTTTTTCCTAAGATGGAAACAAACAACCCCTTGACTCTAAGGCTGGCTGATGATCATCCTATTTCCTCCCAATTTTGTTTGCAGTGTCCTAATTTAAAGAAGGCTCAATTGGTTCATTCATGTTTAGTTTGACTTCCAAGGTTTACTCATGTTTTACGTAGTTGGCCTAGCTAATTGACTGCATGCAGGCTGAGCCTACATAAAGTGACACTATAACTTCCAAAGGATGCATCTACATATGTATGCTCCTTGCTCCAATCAAATTAAATTCAAGCACTTGGAACCACCTTTATGAATATTAATGAAATCAAAGTGGAGAGAAAATTCAAAGGATTTTCTTTTGCTATGATATGTTTCTATGGCAAATCAAAGGAGAGGAATACAACAATATTTGTGATGTGACTTTTAACTGGGAAACCTGCCTTAGCAAATTAACTTCATTTAACTATGAAGGGTAATCATCATTTCTGCCATGGAAATAATGCTTAATTTTTTGGTGTTGGTGGGTGAGAAAGGAGATTAGTTGTTTAGGTAAGAATCACAAACATAGCTTTCACAGTTTACATGGTTCTGCTACAGGGTTTCCATGAAACAAGTTTTCCAATGGTGTTATAGGTGTTTGATTCTATTATCCAAATCTAGTTGAAGACAAGGGATGAATCATTTAGCTTCTGGTTACCTCCTTCAGCATCACAAACTTAAATTCAATAATGAATTTTTAGACATGAATGAAGTGACAAAAGGAATGTCTAGGCCAGTGCAATGGAATTTCTTGAGCCATTGAGTTTTTGCCTGGGTGCAAGAGTACAGACTCCATCATCTTCATGGAAGATAAGGACTCAAGACAAAGGTTGAGTACATAATTCTCTTTGTAGTTAATCGACATGGATGTAGAGAAGCAAATTGCAGCATTTTACAATCTAAAATGACTTTTTTCATCAAGTGAAATAGTCAGTCCAAGAGCGCTTTCCCCCAACCCCACTACTCATTTCTAAGCACAACTTAATCTAATCTTGCATTGCCTTATACAAGAATCTTAAAAGAAGCTTTTCTTTTCATGGGACTATGTTTCCACCACCATCATCAAACTACCAATAGCTGGCAGCTGCTGCTAGTACCATCACCAGGAGTTAGGCTGCCTGAACCCACAATTTCTATACAGAAACAAGGAAATTCCTGTTGGTATTTACTCAAAAATGCATTTGTTTGAAAACTAGCTAGTAAAACTTGCAAGATATGTTGTTCATGTGCATCTCTCACCACGAAAATTGAAAATCCCTTGTGATTGGAGGTTTGGTAACTTACTTTTTGCAGAAGATTATGTTAAGCTAGATGGGCTTTTCGGCACGGCTTATTATATGCACTCAAGTATTACAGACAATACGACAAGATCCTTGTAATGCAAGCAAACTGCCCAAATAGTCTAATAAATGTAATGTAGGATCCTTCCATTCACCAGAAAAAAAAAATCTATGCTAAGTCAATTCTAGCTAGTAAAAGCTAGTAAAGGCTCAAATTTATTAGGGCTTGAAGCTGACATTCGCAAGTAAGCAATGTTTTTCTTGCTAATGACTGATGCAAAGGAACAAAATTGATAATGCTCATTGACCGTCAACATTGAGTTGAAAAAAAGGGGCGTCGTCAAGCTTTTGGCTAGCACCATCAGCATCACACATTTGAATAATAAATTTGAGGCTAGAAGTGCCAGAAGGGATGACAAGGTCAGATACATAAAAGACTTTTACGTGTGCTACTCCAATGAACTCCGATGCGCTTTCTTGTGTCCTTGCTAGAGTTGTGACTGATTCTTTTGTTAGTTTCTCAACATAAATATTGTACCTTGGGAAAGGAGAATTCTTTCCATCTTTCAGTTTCCAGCTGATCTTAAGACTAAGGGTTTTGGAACCTTGAGAACCTCCCCATTCAACATCTTGACCCTCAACGATCCAGGAAGTAGATGGAGGAAATTCTGTATTCTGGTCAAAAGTTGAAATTCTAATGTGTCCAAGGATGGCAAAATATTCTGCTGGGTCCTGGGAATTTGATCTAGCTTCTGATATAAGTACACCATTTTCAGGCTGTTGCCAGTAGCATAGAGCGTGAATTTCTGTTAATGTGTGTCCATTCAATGCAATGCAACACTCTTGTATAACCCATCCTGGATCCATGTCTGGTTTTGTAAGTTGATGCGGCACGATCACTTCACTAAATTTGCTTGAGAATTGGTTCATTCCTTGGGATGCAAGAAGCAACTTCCTTTTTCCTTTCATTTTGGAAAAGAACTCAAGAGAAAGGCCCACTTGAGAGTTCCCTTCTAACTTTACCTGCAGCAAGTTGTGGCTTTCGGGTTAACCCAGCTAATACTAAAAGTAACATAGAATGGACTAGCCATTGTTAGTGAATATGCAAAATGCCCCATGATTTGATTTCTAAATCCCACCCTGCCATAGAATAGTAAATTTTTGAAATAGTTGGTTTCAATACAGAACACCTATTCGAGATAGCTTACAGAATATGTGATGTGAACAGGTAAGTCACACATAAGAAGCTCTCCTGAAAAGAGTCTTGTTGAGACAGAGGCTTTGGCTTCAGGAATTCCTTTAAATGTAAGGTTTCCTCCTCCAATAAAAGATGCTTCCTTGAAGCTGCCGTTTAATCAACCAATTCTTAGACCTCTGAACATTATGCGTATGACTGAATCATATATGTCAAGTACAATGACTCATGCAATTAAACTTACTCAACATGGACTTCAATAGCATTTGTAGTAGGAGCATCGGCATACTCAAGTAAAGGCTGAAACAGAAGGTAGAAGCATATACATTTTCTTTCGTAATAACTAACTTCAAGTAAAACTTACATGTGAGAGAAACAAGACATATCCGTGTAGTCCCTACCTGAAAGGTTTGCAAAGAAATGTTATTCCATTGAGTACTTAATACTTGTGCTCCATCAATGGAAAAATGATACCCTCGGCCCTGGTCACAACATCAAAGACAGTCAACATGTAGACAATAGACGCATATATTCCCTAGGAATTCAGTTAGTGGATTGATTATTTGTGTAGCAACTTTTACATGCCCTCTTATTCTGAAAGACACATAAGAAAAGAACAAAGAATTTGATATGGTTTGCAACCTGATCAAAATTTGAATAGAATGGTAACACTTTAGGATAATTTTGTACAATTCCCCATGATTTCTCAACAAGAGCCCACCAACTGCAAAAGCCAAGAATTTGCAATGAAGAATTATTAAAATTATGACATAAAATGGTCAAAACATTATTATAAATTATGAATATTATATATCACATTGCAACAATAAGAACAGAATTAAAAAGATGACTAAATGACTGAAATAGGTATAACATTAGGAGTGTAGTCATAATATCGAGACATTTACATGATAGAGGGCAGTTAATAATTCCACAAAATCGATATAACTTTTTAAGCTTAAAGAAGAAAATCTGGAACAATCTATTGCTATGATTATCAATGAAAAACATTAACAGAAGCAATATTGCAAAAAAGAGTATTTCTTTAGATAGGAACTGTAACATCCTGCCTGTTTGTAATTCTTGTTATGCTTCCCTCTTCACTAAGCAGAGGAACCCACAAGGTGCAAATCACAATGAAAATAAAGCAAGTAATAAAACACATACTAATCAAAGAACTGTATGCCTTCTAGTAAAACTCTATACATGTCAGTAACTCAAATATAGAATAATACTCTTTAATCACCAGACATTGACAATGATTTCATACATGGAGTGGAAAATCAACAAGGGAGTCGTGACGTAGAAATGTATAGGATCAAAGCATCATGGAAAGGGAAGAGTGGAGTAATCAGCAAAACAATAAATGCATTACCAATTTTGAGCAGTCTGAAAATCGGGGGGTTGTTTTGTTTCATAAACCCATCCAGGAGCAAATAGGGCAGCTGAGACATCATCCTTCTTTATCACATCAAGTGCAACATTTGTCTGTTATGAAAAGAATTGTTAGGGTTTCAATCAGTAAAAATAGAAGGACAATTGACACAAGAAACCAACAATAGTAACAGGCTCAACTTGAAGTGCAACTCAGATTTAAGTTAGTCTATGTATTACAGCTGATTTTCATCTTTCACTCTCAGGTTCAATAGATTTATAACAAGTAAATAGCATCATATTACAATTCGTCATGTAACATCCAAGTTCATAACAAATGAAATAATTCTTTTTCCTAGTACATTATTCAAACATGTAAAGCATATAATTCAACCAGAAATACAAACAAAATATATGACCTAGATCTTTTTAAATGGGGCACATGTGCACTACTTTTCTCCACTTAGCAGAAGAATTTAGGATAGAAGACCTAAAAATGAAGTTTGTAATCAGACTCAACAAGGTTCATAGTGCTAGCCACCAAACTGCTGTAGGAATTCAGAGGGAAAGAAGATGAGATTATCTTCAGTTATGTAGTAGAAGGATGCATTAATTCAGGTACTGATATTAATAGGGGTCAAGACCATGTTCTATTCTCTGTTTGCTTATTTTCACCATATATAATATTATAGTACACTAAGATTACCCAGAAAAGGAAACAATGGTACCAACTGTTGATGAAATCGTAAACAACCAAATTCATATGTCAGGTTCCAACTTCAAAAGATATTACCCTAATAAAGCATGATTAGTAATTGTATGACACCAAGAGCTCTTATTTTTGTTTTAAGAGACTTTCTTCAATCATACACATCAATAACTGTATCTAAGATCCATATGCAGTTGCAATGATAAAAATGAACGCATAGTTTCTCAAATTTTGATATGAGATCAACATCATTAGGAAATAAGATGTCAAGAAAATGTAAAGATAACAATAACTACTAAAAACAAATGAAACAAAATTCCACACTGTTAAATTCCATATTGACTTCTGAAACCAACCAAAAAATCAAATTAAACATATATCTTTATCATAAGATTAGTAAGAAATGTACAGTCCATTCCCCGCCACCATAAGTGCCCCTTCCAAATACATCTATCCCCATGTAGACATCAAACTTTCTATTGCCAGCAACTGTTGCCGAAAGTTTTGGATAGTCCTCCTGCAAGGAACACAAAGGTTTTTACATACAACAAAAGATCAAATTAAGTATGAGATGGATGATAAAATTAAGGCAATACCTTCCAAGTATAGTTAACAAAGATTCCATCACTAATGTCAAAGAAAGGTTTGTTCTTTTCATTCAGTTGATTTTGCCAGTCAAGCTTTCCATCAATTGTAACACTATCATACCTGTGTAAACAACAAGAATAATCAGACAAAAATTAATACACTTCAAAATATATTCACAATTTGAGTTTGGCTTCTCAAATTTTACAAACCATATAACCAAAGATCCCGGAAGTGAGGAGTGCATAGTCTGAGTTAAATGGCTAACAAATTCTTTCAAGTTAGGAATTTGCCCGACTTCCAGTTCAACCTCCATATTGAGCTGCAAGTAAACGTTCCTACGTTAATTGTAGAAATGGGAGTGCCAAATATGGAATTTTCATAGGTTACATGACAGAGGGAATCAAATTTATTTGATATTGTGTAAATGCCAGTCTTCTTTCAAAATAGCATCAAACATTCTCTCAATTTTATCTTTCTCTTGTCCAAAAAATTTTAACAGTTTTGAGCCTGATATTTAATGAGTAGCACATACCAGCCATCCATCAAAGCCCAAAGCAATAGCAAGCTCTACCAAGCGTTCAGCATACTTGTAAGCGGACTCCTTTGTCGAGAGCAGTTTCTTACAAATAGCTTTCCCTTCATCCCATTCAGTGATAAATGTCCCCAATACCTTAGATTCCACAGCCACAGGCATAAAACATATAAATAGCTTCCTTTAGTCTCTAACACACCAGAACCCAAAGACAATGAAACAGATTTCCAAACACATTGGATTACCATAATACACCAGCTACAACAGAAAAGAAACAGAAACCATTTTGGTATAGCAAAAACAAAAGATTGTGTTTTTCTTCAAATCACCAAAATTTCTGTTAGTTGTTGGTGGTGGTTAATTAATTTTCTTCCATCAGCCCCTTGAACTATAACTAGACTTCACAAAGCAATGCAATTTAAAGCAAAAAATTTATAAGAAATTCATTTTCTAGAAAAAAAAAAAAAGAACAGTTATAGCTAACTAGTAGTTCTCTGTTAAAAACCCAATGAAGATAATGATACTTTGATAACTTTGCACAAGGACAAGGATTTATTACCTAAACCCATTTCTCTACTTGAATGATATATGTATATAAAATCAAGATATCTATAGGAAAATCATAAATTTTAAAGCACCCTCGATTTATCGGTTGAGTCTGCTGAACCAACCATTTTTCTACTTGAAATAACCATTTTTATACTAAAGTATTAGGTAACTAACCTTGACTCCATGCCTATGAGCAGTATTTGTCCAACAAGGAGGAGGCAAGGTGACCAAATCATGAGAAAAATAAATAAAAACATCGATCAAATACCAGTGCCAGATGGCATAAGCGCCGGAATTATTGCCACCCTGGACCCACTTATCATCCACGTAACCACCTTGCAGGTCATGGCAAACCAAAATCCTAGGCCTTTGAGGCAAAGCTGAATTGGGTTGGAGAGGAACATTGGATATATTAAAAGGGTAGTGAAAAGAAGTGAAGTAAGAGCGAGAGTCAAGGTCTTCAAGGGTCTTGATTGGGTAGGAGATGGGAATGGACGGCTTTGATGGATCAAAGGGTGGTGGGGGATCTGATTTTTGATCATCGGATTGGTTGGACATGATTTTTCCGAGGAGTTTTTTGATAGTTTTGAGAAGTGAGTTGAGGAGGTTGTGGAGAGCTTTGAGAGTTTTGAGGGTTATAAAGGGAGGGAGAAACCGGAGAATTAGGAGAAGCATTGACTTTAGAGACATCAGAGTCAGACATGTGAGCTCGGAAGCTACTTCGAAGGTAGTAAGAGCTCCTTTATTCTGTTATTTTCAAGGTTTTGGTCTTTTTCTTCAGTTAACGTCGGTGGGAAGGGATTTTTAAACGTGCAAAAGGCTCCGGAAGAAGATTTATGAAGACTTGGATAACCGTTTATTTACGGCAGAGCTGTAATCATATGTGTTAATGAAAATAACTTCGATAAATTCATCGGTGAATTATTCGACTATTATTGGTTTATGAAATTTAATAAGTGATTATGAATAATATTTTTATTTTCATTTATTAAATGAATCCAACATGCAAAGAAGTTTATTTCATTCGTTCATGTGAAATAAATTTATTCAAAATTTATTTAAAATTTCCTCGTTTATAATAATAATAATAAATTTATGTTTTATTCTTTAATTTTATCCTGAAATTGATTTATATTTATTTAAAATGTATTTAATTATAATTTATTTATTGTTAGTAAATATATTCATTTATATACATTCATAAATACATTTATTTAATATTTACATATAAATTTATTTCATTTAATTAAATTAACCGCGATTACAAATATTTTACTATTTAAACCAATCTAACACAAAAAAAACAAATTTTCCATCAAACATAAATTGAATCCAAATATTTTTAAAAATAAACAAACTAACATATATATCGATCCGTTCGTTTATATTCACATCGATTATAAATACCCGCTTATGTGACATGCCATATAACCGCAAACACAACATGTAAGTAATTCCCAAATTTCAGAAACAGCTGGTATGGCCCGGGTTAAAAAATTGCATTTCTACAGATACTCCGTTCAAAGTTACAACAGTTATTATGACAGCCTGATCAAAACCAATGCATGAATGATAAAATCTTCTGTCCTAAAATTTACTAGTCAGTCGCTGTTTGAGAGCTCCTGGTTGCTCTTACCAGCAAAACTATACCTCTACCAGAATATCAGTTGTTTAAGAGCTCTAGAGCATTAGTCTTCGTCAAGAAAACCGTCAATATGTCTCAAACTCTTCCTTTAGAATGGGTTAACATTCATCTCTTGCCTTTAGAGTGAAATCTTGGAGCCCAGGCACCATTGCATTTACATCTCGAACGGGTAAGTCAAAATCTGCGAATCAAATACTTCAAAGTAAATCTTTCGTCCCTGTTAGCTTCGCAAACTCACTCTCATCAATAGACCCTTTTTTAAGTTTCTTAAGTAAACAATATTCCCGGGTCAATTCTTCTTCATCTTCGATTGTTTGAGCAGCTCGTCTCTGTTTGGCTGTTTTCTTCCTCATGACAGGGGCTGCAGCATTTGATGCATTTTTGAGCTTCTGGGAGCTCTTGTTCTTTATTCGCTTGCGAGTTTTTCTTCCTCTGTTTCTCACGAGATTTATCCCTAAATAATCACCATCATTAATTAGCAACAAGAATAGGTTAGAAGATACTAGATGGGCAAGGGCAAGGAATTGGTGAAGATAAAAGGTTAAACTTAAGAGGCTAGAGGTAAAAAAGTTAGCAGCTGAATGATTCTAACATAGAGATCATGTTGTTCTTCAATAAGATTCCAGGCAAAAGATTAAAATCGAAATTCAGTTGGAACATTCAAAGGAGCAATTTCTTGGAATTTCTAACCACAAAAGGGATCCGCTAATGAAGCTCAGATACTTAAAAAATTTTCATTCACAATATTCAACAAGGCATAGCTGGAGATTCTGCAGAGTTCTTACTTATACTTGATATCATCCATACTGATGTTCTCAACCAGAGTGAAACCCTCGTTGGAAAGTGAATGGTGCTTTACCTCAGGCATAGAAGGGAGCTGCAATAGACCATATCCCATGCCCAACTTTCCAATTTCAAGTTCTTTCCATCTGTCGGATAACGAAACTTAGTTTAGACAAAGAGAGTGCAAGACAAGCAGGAAATTTAAAAGGCAAAGCAAAGTTAGAACCTGAAAATGTAAAAGCAGTGATGCTCTTTGTATGCACGGATATAGGAAACAAATGCTCTAAGCCCTTTCTCCATCACATCACGGTCTTTCATTGCAGCAGATCTTATCTGAAACAAGTTTAAGAAAATAACATTGATGAAGAAAGGATAATGCAGTACATAAGACAAGGATGTTATCAACAAACAAATTTTGTTTACCTGAGGAGTCAGAAGCATCATCAATGCATTTCCTCTCTTGAAGAGGAACCCTACTTATGCGCAGAAATTCTACATAGGCTTCCTCCTATAAAAGTGTAACAAAATTTATCAACTTTATTAAATTGGTGGAAATAAGAAAAGGGAAACACAGAGAAAATCCTAATTAGAAAATAAAACTATAAAAACCACTTGATCAACAAGAAAATATCCACCATATAAACATAGAACTGAGAACTGCACCTTAGGTAATAGGAAAACAATGGCACTTCCTTTTCTACCCAACCGAGCATCCAACTCTGTGAATAAATACATTTGGATCTTGAGGGGGATCATACTGCAAAAGAACCAAGCACATAAGCCATAGTCATCAATCACCTATCAGAAACTGAAGATCAACCTTCCTCAATGTAAATTTCTAAATAGCTATTTATTAGTAAAAAATTACAATGTTTTGTGGTTATTAAGCTGCCTGCACCATACAATCAACACCGGCAATGTCGAGCCCACATGCTGCAACATCAGTGCATTGAAGGATGCCACTTGAAAGAGAGGTAAATGAAGCTAATGCTTTCTCCCTTGCAGTCTGAGAAACGGAAGAGTAAATATGTCAGAATATAGATTTCCAAACTTATCAATGCACAAGCTACACCGAATCTCCTTAATTTTACCTGCTTCATCTTTCCACGTAGAGGGATTAAAGAAAAACCCTTCAGAGCAGTGAGACATGGAAGAACAACTCCCCAAAAGTCAACACAAATTCAAGTCATGAAATATCTGCATAATTAATTAAATTATTTGATAACCTACGATAAAACATTGTCTTTTTGGTAAAATGAAATTTCATTAACCATACTCAGGGAAAATTCTCCATGTATAACTTACATTATAACTTTTTTAGCTTTGTTGTTTACAAGGAGATCAACAAGCTGTGATGGTTTCTTATCTGCTTCACATTCCAAATACTGCATAATCAAAAGAATCAAATTTATAAATAAATGAAAATTCAGATATGATTCGTTCTATTCAAAGAAAATTGCTCTTAGAATATGCCAATATGGTAGAATTTTCTATTCAAGTGATGACTAAGGGGCAATGTAGAATGCCAAGACAGCAAAACCAACAAATTGAATCAATTATCTTTTCTTCACCTCCTCCATTGATGGTAAAAGGAAAGAAAACAAAGCTGCACAGTAGTTGGTTGTTTTCATTTGGGATATCCACCTCATGAATGAAAAGGAACAACTCAATGGATGTCATTTGACAAGAAAGTACAAAGACAGAATGTCAAGTATTTAAGTAAGATCAAAGGTTCCTTTTAGTAAACATTTAAGAACAACTGTTTTCCACTTAATGACAGAGCATTAGCCAAGTAATATAGAACTCTACAAGGAGAAAGGGTAGTAAAAGAACAAAATTTTAAGTGTAAATAGAAATAGATCAAAGTATAGAATACCTCCAGGTGAAGGCCTGAAGATTTTTTTGATGAGGCTTACTGCTCAGTTGAAGCTGAATTGTTTAGTGACTTTGTCTCAGCTCTAACTTCAACCCTCAATGGATTCCTCAGTCATGCTTTAGATAGCTCTTCAACTGCCTCGGTTTGAGTAGCTGAAAAAAGGCCAGTTCTACGAAGCTTTGGCAAGCGAGATATAATATAATTTATCTGCTTCTGGAATCCCATATCCAGAAGCCTATCAGCCTCATCTAAAATCAAAATCTGTACCAACCAAAAGGGCGACAGTAAATTCAATAGAGTGTATGTTCATTAAAATAATAGCATCAAACACAATAGTCATGCCTGCATTAATAAGCATGATCAAACCACTCACTAGTTGCTACACATACTAACTGTTACTGGAAAAAAATTAAGAGAAATCCCCAAACTACCAAACATTACATTATTACATGCATGCAATTGACAAACTTAACATTCTGCCAATCTAGGTGATTAGTATTTGGTTGTTGCTAACATATGAAGACATTATTATTTAAATAAACTATCAATAGCATCGAACCATGAATTAAGCGCATTTTTCAATCAAAAAATATTTCTTACTTTCCATACAAGATGAAAGAAAACAACAATTTGAATAACTACCTCGAGGTTACAAAAATTCAAGACATCCATTCCATCCATTATATCGTATAGTCTACCTGGAGTGCCGATCAATAAATTCACTCCTTCGTCCTTGATTTTCTTTACATCTACTTTTACCTCAACACCTCCAACAAGAAGCATAGACTTCACATTGGACAATGTTGAAATGAAAGGCTGTGCTACATTATAGATTTCCGACGAAAGCTCCCTGGAGGTGATATAATTATCCCCATCACCTGCTTTCGATTCAAAACTTAATAATTAAATAGCCATAAAGCAATTGTTTTTATAATTTCAAAGTAGACCGACAATCTAAAACACCACACGAACATGATACGAAAAATGAGTGCTAGGAAAAATGAATACGAAGGTAACACGGTTTAAAATTTTAGAAATAACTATATATGAATTTAACAAAAAAAATGTATTTCATGTTTTTGTATGGACATAAATTATAACACGTAAATTTTATGTAAAATATATTTTACCCGACAGGAATACACGAATCTTCACGTCTATTTCAAAGCTAAAAAAAAAAAAAAAGAAACTTTCCACTATTGTTCATCTAGTTTTCCTTTGCTTTCTCAGTAGCCAAACAGAAAAAGAGAAAAATAGTATAAAGATGAACAACAAAACAGCACAAAACAAAGAATTTTTTTTTAAGGAAAATGAAAAGAACCTGATGACATTTGGGAGGATAAGGGGAGGATCGACGCAGAATCTCTACGATAGGGATAAGGAAAGATAGGGTTTTTCCAGAGCCCGTAGCGGCATGACAGCCACGTTCTTGAAGCTACAAAGAAGCGGGATTGTGGCGGCTTGGACTGGGATGCAGAATTTAAAGCCAGTTTGAGACAAGGCTTCGATAACCGGCTCGGAAAGTGGCGGCTTCAGGTCGGAGAAGCGCGTGACTGTTAACGCGCTGCTTGGATTCGGTGAGTTAGAGTGCACAGCGGCCTCGCAGTTCAATTTGACGCCGCTTTCCCTTTTTTAAGTAACGAATTTATATGGTTACAAAATTTGAACTTGAGAAGCGGCGTCGTTGAAGCATACCAATACCCTTTTTCTTACCGAAAAAGATGGGCCGGTTTGAAACGAATTGAGCAAGCCAGTGGGCTCGCATTCAAATCGTATCGACGTAAATGATATATTAATATTTATAGATTATTTGAATTTAATTAAAATAAAATAAAATAAAATATAATTATTATTGAATTGAATATCCAGTTTGATTTATTAAATAAAATGAATTTAAAAATTTTAATATTTTATTTAAATAATTTATAAATTTAATTGAATTTTTAAATTTTAATTTATTATTATTATTATTTTATTATATATATTAATTTAAATTTAAATTTAAACACGTAATCAAATTTAAAATAAAATATGATAATTAAGTTTATTTTTATTAAATAAATTTAATTAAACGAATTTAAATAATTAAAATTTTATTTTAAATTTAATTAAATTTAAATAAAATTTTAAATAATAAATTTTAAATTAAATTTAAATTTTTTATTATATCGACTTGATTCGGTTATATCATTACTTATTTAGTTTCACTAAAATAAATTTAAAAAAATAAAAGGGTGAATTGTAATTAATCAAAACTGACGGTGAAATTGATCAATTAACTCAAAGTTTAAATTTCCTCTTAAACGCGGTGAAGGAGCTTGTTTCTTGTTTGTCTCCTCCGGTCCAGCTTTACTTACACTCTTTTTTGATTCCATCAACGATAAATAACTTAAATTTTAAGAAAATCAGAGGAATTTCAGGAATCCAAGGGAAAAATAATTTAATAAAAAAAAAACAGTTTCGTTAAGCAAAAAAAATGATAATTGGAAATGAATCTCGGAGATTGCTTGTTCTCATAATTCTCCTCTTGACGATTCAACTCCGAGTTAACTCAGTCATTGGACTCTGCGAACTCAGCTTTATTGACAGCAACAAGCTCTACAACTTTAGCTTGGCTTCTCCTCTGCCTAGATTCCCTCATGGCGTCCTCAGCGAAGACGGGTAGCTCACTAACTCCCGCTTTCTTTTAGCTTTGGTTTTTCTGATCTAAATATCTCTCATTTTCTGTTAAAAATTGCTTTTTTAATTGAATTATGGTATTAAATCTTGTATTTTTTTAATTTATTGGTTATTTTTAGTGGTACCAGGTTGTTGAAAATTTGATAATTTCCTTTTTTATTTATATATGTTATGTTAATTTAGAATTGTTCAGTTTAATTATTTGGTGCAACTTGGTATTTTATTTGATAATTATAAGCAAGTTTGCTATTTTATATGAAGAATGTTATGTTGACTTTGGATATAAGAGGAAATGGTGCGTGCTATAGTTGAATCAAGTCATAGTTGATAAAATATTATTAAGCTTGGACACATGTTTTGATTAGTTAAATTTTGGTAAAGCCCTGTCCTTGGTTTGGTAGAGCTTTAGACCTGTTTGGAGTATGGAAAGTGTGTTGTTTTCGAAATTGGGAACCAGCTTGCTTGTGTTGCATTGCACATTATGTTAGTTTGGCAGGAAACTTTCATATCTAAATTGGGTCAGATTCTAATTATTGAAATATGCTTTGTTTCGTGTGACTGTGGTAGGTTTTATAAGGTGATGGTGAATAAGACTGTGCTCTGGTTTCAGGTTGGCTCCATCAAGTCACACTTTATTTCTTTGTTTAAGTAGCATCGTTTTCTTTCTTTCTTTCTTTCTACTTCTTCTTCTTCTTTTGGTTTCTCTTTTGAAGTATGAACTTTTCTGTGTATTCTAAGGTGGTTAAACTACTGAATTCTTCTTTTAAATTCTTGCCGATCATGTAAGCTCAGGAAATTTTGTGGGTTTAGAGTACTTACCATTGAGAAGAAGCTATAAGTTGTTAATTTTTATACAAGGGTATTTTACAAGCAAGTATATTATCTCTTACCATATAAATTCAGATTATTTTCTTACTGGTTTCTTTTTAATGACTCAATGGAGCAGCTTTGCGACGGAATGGTTTTTAACCACAATCCACCTAGATGTGCTAAGTGCTCAGTAAATGCTTCTTGAATTTTATTTGAGTTTTATTGTTTACATGATGACTATGAAAGGAGCCAGAATAAGGGTGCAGGTTATGATTGACAAAATTTTCCACTTCTTTTTTTTGATGGTCTCATGGACTTTAGGACTGTGGAGGCCCATCACGCTGTGGAATGGAATGTAGTGCACTAGTGTCTAAAAATGTTGGAGGTAAAAGATGTTGCTGATTTGCGTGCATTTAGTTAGTAGTTTGTTTGTTTACTAGTTATAATTGAGTGCTGTTGTTGAATATGATAATTTTTTTCACATCATAATTAACTGGTTAATGAGAATTAATGATCCCATTAATTATCAGATGTAATTGAATTGCTATTATTGAGTTTCCTTAACAAAGCTATTCTACTTGTTGTTCAATATTCTTTCCTATTTGTGTATTTTAGCATTCCTATATATTACTGATTAGCTTTTCTATATTTTAACATATAAGAGTCTGACAAAAAAAGTACCCAAAAAATGTGTGATTTTCGTTCTTTTTGGAGTGCATTGCTACTTCACATTTGCATTACTTGAAATTTAGAAGTACAAGTTTTCCTCAATCACAGAAGTGGTTGTAAACTTATAATACTTTTATATACGTGCATTATTATCAAGGTAGTACTCACTATAATCTACCTGTAGGATGCCAGAAATTTTCCTGCCTTGCTTCTTTCCTTTTTTGGAAAACTAAGTGCAGTATTTTAAAGTGGTCTCTGTGCTTTATGCAGGTTACCAAGTCTGCACTACTATTGGACATGTTTCAAGTACGAATGTTAGTGTCAGTGGTATGTCAGTTTTACCTTTTATTTCTAGGTGTCTTTATAATGTCTTCCAGACTTTAATGAATAAGTGTAATGCTTTTATTTCGCCTCTCAAATTAGCAATTATTGCTGTGGTTAAGCCTTAGATGCTTCACATTTAACAAACATAGCTTTTAGCAGCATATTTCCTTTGTGGGTTTTGCATGCTTTCTCCTACCATGGTGCTGAGCTATTAGAAGATAGTCTATTTCATGCAGTTTGGTAATATTGATGGTTTTACTACTTTACACATAACAGATGAGCAGAATCCTTATAAGGGTGTCATTGTTAGAATGTCAAGCATTGTCAAACAGCAGAATTGTTCACTCTCTGTCTCAATCTTTTGTGATTCTACTGGAGTTCAAGTAAGAGCTTTTTCCTCAATGTTTATGCTAAATTTGATCAAATAAAAATTCCGTAGAGTTGCAAATACCTGTATTCTAACGTATACCTTTTTTATCATTCTGCTTAACAGGGGCCAGATTCAATGGAAATACTGGGGACTTGTGATTACGTGAGTGTCTAGGGAACTTAGTTTTGCCCCTTGGGTTTCTAATATTGCATATATTTGAAAATTTTTTTAATCAAACATCACGTATGTGGAGTGTGGTTGTGGTGAGTATGGTTATGTTTGGATATATATATGCCTCTGCATTTCATGATGTCCAAGAATTGCACTTTTCTGATATGTTTATCTTCAATAACTACAGTCATTTAAATTCTTTTGCTAGTAATACCTTACACAAGAAGTAATTTACTGGCTATTTCTCATTTCATTTGATTTCCATGTTATTTGATCGTCGATTTATAGAACTGGTTATTTTCTCCCATTATTGACTGCTACTCAAGAAATAAAGAAGGGGAAGAGAGAGCAAAAAGAAGAGCGAGAGCATTCCAGTGAATTATATTTATGTTTGAGCTGAGGGTTCTAGCTTTTATCAGACAATGTGGCTTTCATCCATCCAAACTGATCAACTGTCTCAATGTTGCAGTTTTGATGTCCGGATGGGAACACTAGGTCTCTTTCCTCCCCAGTTATGTTATGGTTAATTGTGTTTAAGCTCAAGTACCGAGGAATAATTGAGGTTGAATTTAATTGATGTGTTTCTATTAACCAGTATGGGGAAAAAAGCACTTTTTGTAGTATGGCAAGGCAGAATTAGGAGTGCTCTGCTAGTATTCATAATGGTTATATTAAGGAGGGGATAGTTGCCATTTGAGAAAGATGAGGATTCTAACTTTTTCTTGAGTTCAGGAAGACTTATCAGATTGCAAAATTCTGTGTGGGAAAGAGTCTCAATCTAAAGCACAGTATCTATTGTGTTGATAACTTTTGTTGTTTCCTTATTTGACTGGTGGGTTAGTTGTCATCTCTGGTGTTTCAAGTTTGTTTACCTATTTTCGACAGGCCACAGTTCTGCGGCATCCTTCTGGTTGTGCAACAATCATATCTTTTCACAAAAGAGGATTTGGCTGGTTCGGTACCTTAATGATCATGTAATGGTTTTTACTTCTTCCTCTATTAAATTTATTCTCAATAATAACAATCTAGATAATAGTTGTAGTTCTAAAGGATTCTCTCAATTGGCTGATTGTTTTGTCTCTAGTATTGTATGCCTCTTTGGAGCCTATCTGCTTGCTGGTGCAGTTTATCGATTTTTTTTCCTTGGAATTCGTGGTATAGAAGTAAGATTTCTCTCTGAAGTTATCTGCTTACTGCTAAAATACAGATTAGCAATTTGAATGCCTTTCTTCTTCTTCTTCTTCTTCCTTTGACCACTTTTCTAACTTTTTCCTTGCTCTGCTTTCTTCAGGCAATTCCAAACTTGGATTTCTGGGCCAGCTTACCGCATAGAACGCAGGTACACCATGTTAGTTGACATATTCAGCAAGTTTCTTCTACACAGATAATAAAATGACCCAAAACTTTTTAATCTGACAATCATATATGTTATCATTCTGGCAGAGTTTTTTCTCTTCTTTGATGCTGAAGTTTAGAGGACATTCAGCCGGTTATAGAAATTCTTATTCTCCAGTTAACTTTTGAGCAGTTACAATTTTGTTCCATGTTAGTCAGAACACCAGTTTTGAGAGAACTCAGTCATGAACCTTTAGCAAGCAAGTGCAAGTTGGCATGATATCTCGAAATCCAATGCAGAAGTACCACTTATGTTTGCTGAATTATCTGCCACATAACAGTGCCTTCGTCCGCAGCTTGTTCTGTTTCTTCATCTTCTCTTTCCTCATGATTATTTCATTAACTTTGATCTTGTTTGTCTCCAATGAATAGTCACTCAAGGGCATCTAGTTGGTAGTAATATCTGTCAAAGTGCTAAACGGAAAATCTTGAGTAGAATCTTCATTCCTTGAGTGACATTCTTTTCTTGTAGTTGTTTCTTAAACCTAATTTGGATGCATGGTGAGAGCCCTTTAACCGCTTCGGTCTGCATTTTATGACTGGATCCCTCGCATCGTGCATTCAAATCAAGCTTTAGTTTTCAATGGAATTCTTCAAAGGAGAATTTGGTCCGGACATGAGTCAAGTATTACACATGGTGTGAAGGTGAAATTTGCATGGTTTTGGCTTTGGAAACATTTTATGTATTTTCAATTCAAGGAGATAAACTTGTCAATTTAAAAGACGCTATAAAATAATACACTAAGAAAACGATACGAATAAAAATATAAAAATTATAAGGTTTAAAATTTTTTTTAAAATGTTATATATAGGTTTAATAAAATTAAAAAATGTATTTTATGTTTTTGTATTGATATAAATTATAATATATAAATTTTATGCAAAATATGATTAGAATATAAGAATTATTAATACTTTAAGTGATATAAATATTTGGATTATTAGATCTGATTAAAAAATTATGGATTGGAAAATTGTGGGTTAACATGGAATGTCTGGTTTGGTCTTAATCTTGGGTCCTTATCGGGCTTCGTACAACCCAAAAGACAGAACGTTTTGCTGGATTCTTGAGTCGGATTGGAGAAGCGACTTAAGCAATTATATGAACTTTAGCCTAAATTGTTACGGGCCTTTAGCTCAACATGAACCTAGTGAGGATGTCCAATTCGACAGCTAAAGTCTATAACTTGGGCCGCCCGATTTAAGTCATAATTCTCCGTGTCGTATCGCTCGACACAGAAAAAGAAATTTCTGGTTTAAAGGAATTGCCCGCTAGCGTCTATGGAATAAGAAATCTTTGTCGGAGGTTGCCTTTGCAAATCCCGTTTGAAAGTAAGCTATTACATTTTTTTTTTTCTTTTCCAGGAAACTTCTATATGCAAGAAAAAAAAAAGTGTTCCACTTGTACAAGAATTCATGGTTTCAAAGCTTTCCAGAGGTTTCAAAGCTCCTGTTATGTATAATGTCCGAAAAGGATTTATTTCGAAGAAGTATTTATTTGGTACAGTTTTTTGTTTAGAAGCTGTTTTCATGACTCGAACTTGTAATTATTAAGTCACACCATAATAATCTTATCGATTACGACAAGATTCTCTTGATTCCTTAAAATAAATTGATAAAAAAGAAAAAAAAAAGATGTTAATCAGAGCTTTTTTAAGCTATAAAAGATTTAGATTTTATCCAATATATACATTTTTTCGGTCTATATACTTATATTATACTTGATGTATTAAGTTCATGAAAATCATCTCTTCACATCTTTTTAGTAAATTCGAATTCGAAGCAGTAAAGAGAAGAGTATTATGGATGTTAGTCAGAACTAAACATGAATCATGTTAGATAAAAAAAAATAAATTATTACAGGCTTAACAGCCTAGTAATGACTGTAGTTTGGTAGCGGTGGAGAGCAACATTTATGTTTTAATTTTCCCAACTTGTCTTAATTTATATTTATATATTTGGGAATCATCGCAGTCTATAGCATGTAACAACCATACAATATTTATACATTAAGAGAATCAAGACAGAAGGGAAGGGTATTATTGTTTTCTTTTTTTTTTTTTAAGAATCACCTAACCATATATTATAATATACTATAAAAATAATGTTGGAAGGTCTTGATTAAAGACATTGGGTTAAAAGACAACCAAAACAAGAAAATTATTTGTCAATTTAAGAAAATAATTAAAATTCATTGACAACTAACTATAATAATTAATTAGGTACATAATAATAATAATAATAATAATAATAATAATAATAATAATAATAATAGTATTGAATTCAGCTTTTAGTTGATCCATCCCTATTGTATTTTACCATATGATATGGGGATTCCAGTAAGGAAAACAATAACATAATAGGTAACAGCTTGGAAGGGAAATTTTTTAATCTTCTAAAAATATCAAATAATTGAGCATTTTTGTCCTAATATATGACCCTAATTATTTTTCAATTACTTATTTAATTAATTAATTTTTGAATCAATCATATTCAATATAGGCTAACTTATTTGATAGATTTATTGCTAACTAATTATATAAAGTTTTAGTCTTATGCATTCGATTTCATGCAGAGCATCATGGATTCAAGTTTATGTCTTTGTTATTATCATAAATTAAATCTTACTTTATAATAAATAAATAAATCTTATTTTAAATATTTTGATTGGATAAATTTAATTTTTATAAATAAAATTTATTTCAATATAAAATTTGTAATGGTAATTATATGCTAAGTTAAAATATTTCAATTTCATCGAAGCTTAACTAGACATAAAATAAATAGATTGAATTCAAAATTTAACTCAATTAGTTTATGTTAACATTTAATTATGGGTGTTTATAATTCAATTTTTACCAAATTAATTTATCAAACTAATTTAATTTGGTTAATTGGTTGGTTATTGAATTAATTTCAATCAGTTATCAAAAATAATTTAAAAAAAAATTTTAGTCTTCAATTAATTTAGTTCAAAAATCAAATTAATCGAAATTTTAATTAAAATAGAACATAGTAAAAATAAAAATAAAAAATACTTGAAATAGATCATTTATTTAATAAGTTTTTAGAGTTTTTAATATAATACTTTAATATTTAAATATTTTATTGGGTTTTTTTAATTTGTTTAAAATATAAGAAAATATGATTTTTAAATATAATTTAACTTAAATATATTTATTATTTAATTAACAAAAAATTAATTAAATTGATCAAATTAAATTTGATCAATTAATTTTTTAAATTAATAAATTCGATTGAGGAAAATAAAATAAAATAATTTAATTAATTCAATTTTAGATAATTTAAGTCAAAATTAACCAAAATCGATTGCACGAACATCCCTATATTTAACAATTCCAAAGATAAAATCTTACACTTACAAATATATTTTTTCTATTTCTGTAGTATAATGACCTCCTCCAAAAAAACAAATAAGTTTAAAAGATTGTACCTTACCATTTATTTATTTATTTAACAATCGAAACAGTTGGGATTTGACCTTATCAATGCATCATACGAGCACCTACTTTATAATTAATTTATTCTCTCATTTTTTCCTCACATTTTTTCCAGTAATTAATCATATAGAAACATCGAAAACTTCAAAGTTGAACCACCAAAAAGCTTTGTATATTTTCTTCATTGCAACTGATCCAATTCTCACATTTCAATCTTAAGCCCCCATGTTCATGTTCATTTAGTCTAATCGCCATACAAAAACAAAAAGAAAAGAAAAGATAGGAAACGAAGAGCAAAGAATGAAGCCTCCTCTCCCTCCACCGTCTTCCTCTTCTGTTCTTAGAAAGGCACGTCTCTCTCCTTACTTCCACACCTTATTAACCTTCATTGCCTTCGTTGTCCTTCTTTATTGTGAGGACTTCCTCAGCATCTTTGGCCATGGCAGCAAGCTCGTCCCAACCCAACCCGTCTCTGAAACAGGTGAGTTAGTAACTAACTAACTAACTAACTAACTCAGTCGCATGCATTACTTTTCTTGTTGGCTTGAGGGTGTGTGTGACTGATACTATACTCTTGTGTTTTTGCGGTACTTAGAGAAGAAAAGAGAGACGACGTCGTCGACAGCACTGCCATTCGCAAAAGGGAAATTAGCCAACGAAGGATGTGATATCTTCAGCGGGAGATGGGTGAGGGACGAGCTGAACCGGCCACCGTATGAGGAATCGGAGTGTCCGTACATCCAACCGCAGCTGACGTGCCAAGAACATGGCAGACCTGATAAAGAGTATCAGAAATGGAGATGGCAACCTTATGGATGTGATCTTCCCAGGTAAATCTAATCAAACAATTCAAGACCCACTTTCCTATATGCTCTTTCTTCTTTCTTTCTTTCTTTCTTCATCTTTTTTTCAACATAAATGTAATAATTCTTGCAATTTTCCAACTGCCATGTTTTGGTTGTTTCAAGTCTTCGGGCATGGAAATAGTAATGCATGCGTTAGGATTTTGACAGGAACAAAATCACATTTGTGAGTGAGTTTATAAATGCAACTATGTCAAAATTATCTTATTTCCGTGGATTTATCTTCAGTAAATCTAAAAATTTAAAACGTAATACAATAATATAATATAAATATGATATAAAAATAAAATATAAAAATAATATAATTTAAAATTTTAATAATTATTTATATGAATTTAATAAAATTAAAAAAATATAAATTATATTTTTATATTGATATAAATTATGATATTAAATTTTATATAAAATACAATATAAATAAATAAATTTTAATATTTTAGCACACAAAAATCATTATCTCTAACCAATGGCCCTTCTTCTCTTTGTTGGTCGGGCAGGAAATTATAGTGGGTCGCATGTTAGGGCCTGTCTAAGAATAAACTATTAGGAGGTGAGACCCATTACTTGCAACTAGTCCACGTGTCTGGTGTATTGGGCCCACTTTGATCTGACCCTGGAATCATATGATTATGCCACGTGGATTGTAATGGTATATTAGTTTACTGATGCTTAGTTCTACAACTAAGCTTGTGGAAAAAGATGGATATTGTCACATTCGTTATGCTGAAAAAGTAAACACTAAGTTAGTAGCAGCAGGTAAAATGGTATTATTAATTGACATTGATTTAATACATGAAATTCTTTGTTACAGGTTTAATGCCACATTGATGCTAGAGGCCTTAAGAGGGAAGAGGATGATGTTCGTAGGTGACTCATTGAACCGGGGCCAGTATGTTTCAATGGTCTGCCTTCTCCATAGAATTCTCCCTGAAAATGCAAAATCCTTGGAAACATCGGTCGATCAATCACTAGTCGTGTTCAGAGCCAAGGTAATTGGTTTAGAGAATTTCTGTTTAACTTCTATTAAGAGAAACTTGGAGCTTGTTTATTTGATTCGTGTTCTTTTGTTGTTTAGGATTATAATGCCAGCATTGAATTCAACTGGGCACCATTTCTCCTAGAATCGAATTCGGATAATGCTATTGTTCACAGGGTAGCTGATAGGATGGTTAAGAAAGATTCGATCAATAAGCATGGGAAAAATTGGAAAGGTGTTGATATTTTGGTATTCAACACCTATCTATGGTGGATGACCGGCCAGAAGATGAAGTTCCTGTACTATTTTCTTCTCCCTCGATTGATTCATCAGCTCTTTGCCTGTTTTGTTAGCTTATTTTTGGTTCAAAGAAAGAGGCCTTATGGGCTAATTGGCTTTATGTTTTGACAGGAAAGGGTCATTTGATGATGAAAAAAAGGACATAGAGGAGCTGGTAACTGAGGAAGCTTATCGTGTGGCAATGAAAAGCATGTTGAAATGGGTGAGGAAAAATATGGATCAAAACAAGACCAGGGTCTTCTTTACTAGCATGTCACCATTGCATATAAAGTGAGTAATAACTTCTGTCATATTCAGGAAAACTAATTCTTTGCTTCCTAGCTTGGATAAGGCCTGGCTATGGCATGAAAAATGAAACCACTCTGAATGGAAACTTTTATATTTGGTAGGAGCAACGAGTGGGGAGGTGAACCTGGTGGGAATTGTTACAATGAAACAACCTTGATTGGAGATCCTAATTACTGGGGATCAGAAAGCAAAAGCATTATGCAGGTGATTAGAGAAGAATTTAGTAAATCAAGGTACCCCATTACATTCCTCAACATCACTCAACTCTCAAGTTATCGCAAGGATGCGCACACCTCGATTTACAAGAAGCAATGGACTCCATTGACTCCTGAGCAGCTAGCAAACCCTGCTAGCTATGCTGATTGTGTGCATTGGTGTTTGCCTGGCCTTCAAGATACCTGGAATGAACTTCTATTTGCCAAGCTATTTTATCCTTGACTATAATCTTCAATGATGAAATGTGAAATCAATCAGACAATCCCTCTTTGTAAATGGTTTGGGCCTGGGCAACATAAACTATTTTCATTACAAGTATTTGGCTCCTTGGAGGGGTGGTGAACATGGTGACAAAAGGGAAAAGGGTGGAAAAAGACAGAAAAGAGGAGGATTTCTGTAAAATAATAGTGATTGTTACAAAGAAAAAAGTCAACAAAGTGATTGAATTGATTGTTTTATAACTAGTCGAAATGAAGATTTGCATTTCACTTTTATAGAAAGTATTGGCACATGTTTGAAAGAAGAATAGAGCAAAAGCAACACAAGACATGAATCAAGATGATTCGGAGCAACAGCTACAGATAATCGTTCAACATTTTGGGTGCCAAAGGGCTGATCTCTAATGGATCATTGACCAGTTATGCACCATCCAATCCAGGGTCCAAGGAGGGTGGTTCATGCAGCTATTTTAGTCTCTGATGCTCATGAAACATACCAGCATTTCAAATTGCTGGAAAATTATCAGCAAATTAAGATATATAACAAGCTTTATGACCAAGACATAGCAAAAACAAATCATCAATCTTGCCAAAGAACTCGATTTACGGGCTTGAATCAAATCATCAAAACCAATTATTTCAGAAATTTGTTGTTAGCTTCTATGGTAAAATTAAATTGCGTCAGTTCAATAAAATGGCATAGCACTGTTGAATATTGATGTTTGACTCAGATGGAAATGCATTTGATATTGAATTTTACATGCATGTCCTCAGAAGACACTTTAACCTTCTTCTGCAAATTAAATGCACATATAAACTATGCATAATATAATTGAAAAGGTTACTTGATATTAATGCCTGGGATCTCCATTTGAGTAAGCCTCAAAATCTGTTAAAATCTCTAGAATGCTATATATACAAACCAAATTGCATCGAAGCATTGGAACTTTTGGTGGAGATTTCACTTTTTGCAAAGTACCATTTCAAAGTGAGCTTCCTTGAGGATGGCTTTCTAAAATTTTGAGATTACATCATTTCGTTTTGTTGGAAACTCCAAAAAACAGTGCTTAAAATCTGTAAATTCATGGTTAAAAGCGATCCTAATGAAGCTTTAGGCTTTTGTTTCCTACTTATTATCACATTCCAACAGCTAGATGTAATATACACTAATCTTTAACCAACACTTTCTTTTTTATTTTTTAAAAATTTAAGATATCATGCGAATTATATAAGAATGGTGATGAATGGATATCCATTATTTTTGACATATCTGTATTCAAATTCGTTAAATATTTATAATATCTAAATCTATTTAAATATTTATTTAAGTTTAATATTTTCATACAAATCCAAATTCGTTTAAATAAGCAATATCCATTTAAATATCCGAATCAATTAAGATATTCATTTATTTAAATTTTATGTTAAAATATAAAATAAATAAAATTTAAATTCATCCTCAATTAATAATAAATAAAATTTATTTTTTAAGATTCAAAATCTTCTACAAATATAAAAGTTTATATATTTTATATATATAAATAGATAACGAATTCAAATATCTATTTCTATTCATTAAAATTTAAACGGATTCGAATATTAAATATTCAAATAATACTATTTGTATTCGATCTGAATCCGTCATGAATAATAAATTTTTTATTCGAATATATTAATTATTTATTTATAAATATTTGAATATAACATAAACAAATTGAATAATAACATATATCTATTTAATTACTATCCATTGCCATCTTAGAATTCCAAATGTTTAGTTGATAATTGCACCATTTTTTTCATTAGTACCAGAGAATTTCCTATGAAAAATATGGATACCATTTAGTTGATCCATCCCTATTGGGTTGCTAAATCATATCAGCTGGATAGCACTTCAACACCTGCTTTTCTTGTTGAGAATTAGAGTAAGAAAAAAACGTACAAAAAGCCAATAAAAAAGAAGGTGAAATGCCACCAAATCCTCACCTAAAACTCTTAAAGGAAAGCAACCGTACTTTTATAGTTAGTGATTACACCATTTTTTTTCCCTTACAAGTCATTGTAATAATGGGGTCGGATCATGATATGCCATCTTTAAATTAGGGACATCCTTAGCTTTTAAGCTAAGGGAAAATTATAACCTTCCACTACACCCACTACTCTTCATCACTCTTTTCAGAATATATTAGTAGAAATAAATTCAAATCAATTAAATTTTATAAATAAATAAGAGAATGATATGATTCCGAAATATCAAGGATAGATAACATGGCACCTATTTCATACCTACATTATATATATTTATATATTTAATAGATATAAAATATAATATATATTTATTATGTTATGTTAAGTTAATATATGTTAGCTTTTTTTAATTTTAATTGTTATTGTGTAAACTTGTTTTATTTATAAGTTTAAATATTTTAATAACTATTAAATAGTTTAATATTTATTTTTAAGTTTTTTAATAATCACAAATACTAAAATTCCCATATCGATTAAATCCTCACCAAGGGTGGATATAAATTTTATTTAGATATGAACATGGGCACGAGAATGAAAATATTTTAAGAGAATGACATAATATTGGAAATGCTCTACTTATTCCATACCTACTCGGTTGATAGCTCTCTGTCCCACCGAATTAATTTTCAATTACTATTAATTATCAAATTAATTATTTAATTAATCACTTATATAATTATACTGATATCCAATTAATTAAAAAAAACCACAAAAATTCAACCTAGAATGTAACAATCAAACAGTTAATCAAGACATGACGTGGTGACCATCAACCAATCATACTTTTTTTCCTCTAACAATTACAATTTCACAGGTCATCCAACTATTCAAATGTTGAAACTTTCTTCACAATTGCAACCCTTTGTATAGTTTCCTATATAGTTCATGAATCTACTCCTAAAACACAAAGTTACCATATCAAAATCAAAAGAAAAAGGAAAAAAAAATTTTGGTTGAAAATGAAGCCTCCACTTCCTTCCTCTTCATCTGCTGTTCTTAGAAAGGCTCGGCTTTCTCCTTACCTCTTCGCTTTGTTAGCTTTCATTGTTTTCGTTGCTATCCTCTATGGAGAAGACTTCATGTGCATTTTTGGACAGCTTGAACCAATCCCAGGCGGAGCTATCTCTAGACCAGGTGAGTTAACTCATTCAATAGCAGAATTTGGAACAAGGCTTTATGTTTTTTCTTGGGTTGACTGAGTTTTGGGGTTTGGGGTTAGTGAAGAAAAGAGAGAAGTTGCCATTCGCCATAGGGAAGACCGAAGAAGGATGTGATGTGTTCAGTGGGAGGTGGTTTAGGGACGAGTTGAATCGTCCTCACTATGAAGAATCGGAGTGTCCGTATATCCAGCCACAATTGACATGTCAAGAACATGGAAGACCTGACAGAGGGTATCAGAAATGGAGATGGCAACCCCATGGCTGTGATCTTCCCAGGTAAATTAAACTAAAACCTAGAATTTTCTTTCTTTTTTTTTCCCAAAATTCTAAAGCCTTTAATTCATCTTAATCATATCTTCATTTGATTGAAGCTTTTAGTTTTTGTTTTTATCATTGCTTTTTCTGTTGTGGAAAACCTCAAAATCATACGCAAACTTTGTCACGTTCTCCTTGCTTTTATTGTTTCAGCTTTAGAATGAGAAATTTTGAAGCTTTTACATTCTTTAGTAATTTGCTTGATGAAAATAGTAATTTACGGATTTTTTTTTGTCTTGAAGTAGAAAATTTTAATCATTTTAATTGTATATGATAAAATTAAAATTTGATTAAACAAAGAATGTTCGTTGGCTGGACTTGGCAAACTAAAAATCGCCGGCGATATGTCGGTCTACTTTGCACGGTTGTACACGTGCCAAGACGAAGTGGATCCTTGGCCACAACCCAGAAGGATCGTCAAATTGTCGGTGTTGCGAGTATGAAATATTTAGGTTGGACCCATCAAGTCTTTCTTTCCAAGTGTCAGTTGATGTTATCCTTAATTATAATATATTTTACATAAAATTTATGTATTAATATAAAAATATAAAATATAATTTTTTTAAAATCATATAGTTATTATTATAATTTTAAATCTTATCATTTTGATATTATATTTATATAATATTATTATATTATATTTTAAATTATCAAATATAAATATAAATATTTTATTATGAAAATTTTAATAACTTAAATAGATTTGGCAATTAAGTTGATAACAGTTAATAATAGATTGGATTCGACTCAATTTTTATAAATAATTTACAAAATTATAAATTTTTAAAATTAAAATCGAATTCGATCTTAACTTCAAGATTTGATCTTAATTAAATTGAGTTTTGCTAGTTTGGTTTAATTCCGTTCAACGATTTTTAAATTTAATTTTTTTTTGTTTTTTTATATATTATTTTAATATAATTTTTAATAATTTAAATAGATTTAGGTATAATAATTATTTTTATTTTATAAAAATTTAAAATATATGTAAAAGTTAATAAAAATATATAATTCAATTATATTTGATTTTTTTTTTAATTTTTACTTTCCAATTTAAAATTTGATCCTAACCTAATATATAAATTTAATATTTGAATTTTATCTGAACCAAATAAGAAAACATCAATTCGAATTGAACTAAACATTATTATTTCAAAACGATTTTTGGTTTTCTTGAATTTTTTACTCATACTAACAATTCGTATCGTGTAAAATATTAATAATTCATGTATTGATGTTATATTTTATACGAAAATTATGTATTATAATTCATGTCAAAATATATTTTTTGGTTTTATTTTATCTTTATATGGTTATTATTAAAATTTTAAATTATGTTATATTTGTATCTTTTTTTTGTATTATTTTTACATCATATCACCGTATTGTATTTTAAATTATTATATTTAATTCAAATGCATGTTAAATATGAAATTTTTAAATTTCACAAAGGAAATTAATAAAATAACAAATTTTTTGAACATGTATTAAAAATAAAAAATTAATTAAAAAAAATAATTTATGAGTCAATTTCTTAATTTAACTTATAAAATTAAAAATTCCACAAAGAGCATGTCAACTAAGTTTTCCAAATGAAAAATACATTAGTTAAGTATTGCTGTCCTGATCTAATGAACAGTTTCAATGCCACATTGATGCTGGAGAGCCTAAGAGGGAAGAGAATGATGTTTGTGGGTGACTCATTGAACCGTGGCCAGTATGTATCAATGATCTGCCTTCTCCACAGACTCATTCCTGAAGATGGAAAATCCATGGAAACCTATAATAATGATGCCCTGACTGTGTTCCGAGCCAAGGTAATTGCAAATTTGTTCAAATTTCCATGCAATTAGTAATTTTCACATTACATTGATCTTCCTATTTTCCTATCCAGGATTACAACGCCACCATTGAGTTCTACTGGGCTCCATTTCTTCTTGAATCCAACTCGGATAATGCTGTTGTTCACAGGATATCTGATAGAATTGTCAGGAAAGGTTCAATCAATAAGCATGGCAAGCATTGGAAGGGCGTTGACATTTTGGTTTTCAACACCTATCTATGGTGGATGACTGGCCTGGATATGAAGATCTTGTTTGTCTTATTTTCCCTTCATCAACTCTTTTCTTTGTCTGGTTCAGGGAAAGGTCTCAGGGCTTAATGTATAGTATGTTTCCACAGGAAAGGGTCCTTTGAGGATGACGAGAAAGAAATAATAATGGTGTCAACTGAGGATGCCTATCGTATGGCAATGAGAAGCTTGTTGAGATGGGTGAGGAAAAACATGGATCGCAAGAAGACAAGGGTGTTTTTCACTAGCATGTCACCTACTCATGCAAAGTGAGTAGAAATTGAACAATCTCTGTTTCTTACTATACGATTTCAGCATCTGTGGTTATTGGATTCTTCACATGTTGGCAGGAGCATTGATTGGGGAGGTGAACCTGGTGAGAACTGTTACAATCAAACAAGTTTGATTGAAGATCCTGATTTCTGGAGTTCAGATTGCAGAAAAAGCATAATGAAGGTGATTGGGGAAGTGTTCAGTAAATCAAAGTTTCCTATAACATTTCTCAACATCACTCAACTGTCAAGTTATCGCAAAGATGCACATACATCAATATACAAGAAGCAATGGAATCCATTGACTCCGGAGCAGCTGGCCAACCCTGTTAGCTATGCTGATTGTGTGCATTGGTGTTTGCCAGGCCTTCAAGATACTTGGAATGAGCTTCTCTTTGCCAAGCTATTTTATCCTTGAATATAATTTTCAATCATGAATTATACATCAAATCTTCTTTCTAATTGGTTTGCTCAATGATGGCCATGAATAAGACTGGACATGTAACCTTTTTTATATACAATTTTTTTATGTTGGGGGTGGCTGTCAATCTAAAATATAATACGAATGCAATACGAAAATAAGATACGAAAATAAAATAATTTAAAATTTTATCAATAATTATATATAAATATAATAAAAACAAAAAAATAAATTTTATATTTTTATGTTGACATAAATTATAACATATAATTTTTATATAAAATATAATATAAATATATAAATTTTAATATTTTACATTATATAAATACACGAATTATTAAATTTTGATGTCGTTCGTCAACAAAATTAACATAGGAAGAAAAAAAGTAAAAAAGAGTGTCACTGAGTGATTGAATCGATTTTTTTTTTCAAATTGAATAATCACAATGAAGATATTACTTCTTAGCTAATTACACCATATTTATACAAAATATTTTTGCTTTATCGTACCATAGCGTAAACTCACTCGCTAGTTTGTCTCCCCCAATTTTTTTTGGGCCTATAGAGAAACTATGATCGAAGTTCAGTTGGGCTTTTTAAATGGACCTATAAAGTGCTTCATTTTCAGCCCAGGCTTTAAGGCCTACGTCCAAAACTGGTTGGTTAAGCTTCCATACTTATATTTTATTTTTTTGAAATCAAGATAAAGTTATGAGATTTGAGATTAAACTTTAAATACATTGAAAATTAAACACGTAAAGTTAGATTTGATAATTTAAAATATAATATAGTGATAAAATTTTAAAAACATTATATTTCAATTATAAATAGTTTTGAAAGTTTTATATATATATATATATATGCTCTAATATTTTTAGATCCCATGTATTAATCATCTTTCTTAGGCACTATTAAATTAAATATAATCATAACCATGTGCCAATTGACTTTTATTTAATTTTAAATTGTAATTGATTAATTAAAATGCAATAATTATAATATGTGTTAATTTCATAGGATACTATTCGATAATTTACAGTGATATACATCAGTATTCTTTAGATCAAGTGAGGCTGATTGCAAGGAAATGACAATTACGAAGCTACAAGGCTGATATACAAATTTTTTCTAATTAATAATTATACAGATTTTGAGAGGGGAAAAACCTAAAAGCTGAGCTCTTTGTGAAAGAATTAAGCTAGATTGCTAGGCAATATCTTGGGGTGTAGTTGAATATAAAGATTATGAAAGAAAATGGTAAAACCATTTGTTTTTGTTAAGCTGTTTGAAAGAGGCAAAATCTTGAAAATACCATAGAAAGAAATAGAGTCGTTAATGACAAAGGTTGGAAATGACTTTAGTATTTGTGCTTCGATTCTTAAGTTAAAAATCAATTTTAAAAAAAACAAAAAGAAAATAATAAAATAAAGGCTTAAAAGTTAAAGTTCAAAATCCCCTTAAAAATATCTAGATAAAACTATTGATATATGCGTGATGAGGAGTTTTTGGCTTAGGCTACCTTAGGTCAACATAAGAGATTAAGGTTAACCTTGTAGGTCTAACCTAGGTTGGTAGTTAACTGTCTATTTAGGGTATAATAAGTCATCATCTTAGGACACTAGCTCATAGATTGTTAAGGTGGTTGAGCTAATATGAATCCCGAAATTTTAAATCGATTTAACATATCAGCTCAGCCAAAATAACTAAAATACCTCTACTTGTCAGCTAACTTATACTAAAAAAATAGTTCATTTTATCCCTTTAGACACTAAAAGGCCTTTAACATCATTTCCACTTAGTGACAAATGTTGATCATTATTTTTTAGTTTCTATTGCTTGCCTATAGAAATTTTACATAGAAATTAACCAGATTAAGAACAAACAATTATAAAAGAAATATAATAAAATGCCTGATTGACATTATCACGATACAACAATTTCAGCACAAACAGATCAACTGAAAGTCCTTTTAGAAATGGTAGACCAAACCCTAAAATCAATAGGCTCATGAAATGTATGGGCACTAATTGATGAAACTAATGAAGATTATCGGCTCAAGAAAAAAAGATTCAAGTATTCTTAGTTGTTGAAGGCTTAAAATAGGTGGCTTCACTACAAGGATTAAGCTTTTAGTGACATTTTTTTTACATTTAATGGCATTTATAAACGCTACTTAAGGATTCAAGGCATTTACCAAAAACACTCATAAGAGTGTTGCCTATACCTGCGTTAGAGAAAATAGTAATATTTTTAAAAAAAATGCAATTAATGTAATGGCATTTTTATTATAAAATGTCACTAAATTTAGTGACATTTATAGTAGAAAACGCTGATACATTTTGCCATTAAAGGTATTTTTAGGTACAAATGCAGTTAAATTAAAAAAAATTTAAAAAAACTTTTTTAATATTGATTATTATCATTAAATACAAAATATTAAAAGAAATAAAAACGAATTTAAATTCGTAAACTGAATATTATAAATACATAATTTGTTCCAATATGAATGGAACACAAAGTTTATATATACAATAACATTCAAATTATTTTAGTACATTAACCAAAAATTTAAAATGTATGAAATTAATGATTGCATAAATTTAGAACACTATCATTTGATGAAAGATTTTTCCCACCTTGGTCACTACCATCTTCTGTTGTTGATGGTTTTTATGCACAATAAATCCTTTCAGTAAGATTAAGTCGTTTCATCAAACACCATGAATCTAAAAAAATAAACAAAACAAATGCTACGATGAGATGAAAAAAAAATAGATTATTTTAGAATTGTTTCCTAAGGATATCTTGAATGAATCAACAAATTTATGTTAATAAGTAACAATTTTTTAGTAATTTAAAAAATATTTTGTTGAGAAAAAAAAAACTAAACATAAAATTTCATTCATGTTTATAACTAAATTCAACATTCAATTTCATGTTTTTTAAAAAAAAATCCTATTTCTTTCACTTTTCTGTTTTATCTTGAATTTTTCTTACCAACCAAACAAAACTAAACTCAAAACTAAAATAGCGAAATAAATTGGTAAAAAAAGAAAAAAATGGTTAAACATTAAAAATTGTCAATGTTGAAATAGAGCTTGAACGGTGGTAGAAACATAATAAATTAGACAAAAAATTTAAGGATTTAACCCAACAAATCAGATAGAAAGTTTAGAGATTTGACCCGAATTACAAAAAAGCTAACTTGAAATTTGAAAAAAACGAAAGAAAAAAAATAAAAATTAGCCACAAAATGACTAAAACTTAGGCATAAAAGCATAAAAGGGGTCTTGTGGATTTGAAATTTAAGAAAAATTTAACAGCGAGAAAGTGGGATTATTGGAGGCGTTTAAAAACGCCTCCAATAATCCCTTTAATTTTTTTTTGGATTATTCAAGGCATTTCTGTAAAAAACACATTCAATAATTCTTTTCATTTTTTATGAGAAGATTGTTGAAGGCGTTTCAGGCAAAAAACGCTTTTAATAATCCCCTTAAATTTTGATAAGGAGATTATTGAAGGCGTTTTTAACCAAAAACTCCTTCAATAATCTCCTTTAATTTTTTACATAGAATTATTAAAGGTATTTTCTACAAAAAAAACCTTTAATAGTCTCAAATACTTTTTTATAAGGGATTATTGAAGGCATATTAGGCAAAAAACACCTTCAATAATCCCTTTAAATTTTGAAGAAAAGATTATTGAAGGTATTTTTTACAAAAAATACATTTAATAATCCCTTCCAATTTTTTATGAGAGATTCTTGAAGGCGTTTCAGGTAAAAAATACCTTGAATAATCTGCTCATAAAAAATAGAAGTGATTATTTAAGGTATTTTCTATAAAAAAATGCTTCAATAATTCACCTAAAAAGTTGTAAAGGATTATTGAATGCGTTTTTGATCAAAAATACCTTCAATAATCCTGTACAATTTTCTAGGTAAATTATTGAAAGCATTTCTGACAGAAAACGTCTTCAATAATTGCTTCCATTTTTTATGAAGGAATTATTCAAGGTATTATCTACCAAAAATGCTTTTAATAATTCTCTATTCATTTTTTTATAAAGGGATTATTCAAGGTATTTTCTGTAAAAAAAAAAAAAAACCTTCAATAATCACTTCAATTTTTTAGAAAAAATTATTTAAAGTGTTTTGATCTATAAATGTCGCTAATTTTTATTTTCAGTGGTATTTATAAGTATAAATGTTACTATTTAAATATTTAATAACGTTTTGATAAAAAACATCTTAAATTTTATAAAAATACAAAAATTAATGATGTTTTTAAATGAAACGTGGTTACAAAATTACCCCTAATCTTTCATTTTCTTATAGCTTCTTTTTCATATGTTGTGGAACATTAAAAGCCTCCCTGACAAGTTGCAATACAAATTGCATCCCAGCCGTCCCTTGCCCAACACAAAAATATATAGTAGTGGTAGAGAAATTAAAGAGAAGAATAATTAGAAAGGATGGGCAAAATTAACATCAGCTTGCATTTTTTTCTACAACAAGTTGGCGTTCATAAAATGTCAAGTTGCAATTGGCAAATCAGCTGTTGATTCTTTCTCTCTCAAAAAATATTATATATATATATGTATATATATATATATATATATATCATTGATTAAAAATAATTAAAATATTATTTTAAAAAATAATTTACATATACGTGATATATAATTTTCATCAAATTCAAAAGGAGATAATATATAATTAAAATTTTTTTTAAATATCATTTTGTCAACTATTCAAAACTTATCCGTGCATGCTCTTATACGAAAAATTCTAAAGGTAAGGGTTTTTTTTTTTTTTTTTTGAATAATCAACATTTGAATATTGAATTGATTCTTCACCCTCTTTCTTGTAAACATGATCAAAGGATTAAAAATCCCATAGAAACTTTTAAAGATTATTAAATATATCAATGGTTGCCAAGTCTCTCACATGTCACCCACCAGCTTTTGGTTCATCATTAACTGTTTATTCTATTAACTCGTAATTTTAATATTCTCTCAATAGTATAGGGAAATGTAAGAGAATGAATAATGAAGTAGTAGGACATAAAATTATAGTATAAAAAATGGGAATTATTTAGTTTGTATCAATTAGATGCTTAAACAACTGTTCTAATTGCCATGGAGAAAAGCACATTATTTATCAAAACAAACTTATAGCATTGGAATCAATGTGTGATTAAATTGTACATTTACATATTTTTGCACTTTGCAATGAAAAATATTTCATTAATAAAAGTATATATATCTTAATTTGGTGATATTTTAAATAAGTATTGACTAATATTTGTGCACTTTACAATAAAAATATTAATTTTGATTAGTTCAGTAGATGATTTTTGACATTAAAAATATTAATGTGTGTATACATATATGGAAAGAAACAAAAAAAAAAAATCCAATTGTAAGTTGAGGATACTAAATATATAGAGGATGATACGTTAGGAGTAGACTGAAATTCTTAATTTTCTTTTTATATTTTCAATACATACAGTAAGATTAAAGAGAAGGAAAAATAAAATCATAAACCTGACAATTTAAAATACAATACAGTGACACATTACGAATATGATATGAAAATAAAATACGAAAATGATACTACTTAAAATTATAATAATAATTATATATGAATTTAGAAAAAAATTAAAAAATATATATTATATTTCGTATCAATACGAATTATAACATATAATTTTTGTATAAAATATGTTATAAATACACAAATTTATATATTTTATATCAATATAAATATATGAATAAACATGTTTACAAGAAGGTAGTCCAGAGATAATTCACATGGATTACTGCAACTTTTTGACTGACCAAACGTAATAAAATAATAATAAAAAAAAAACCTTCTCCATTGAAACGTATAAAAAAAAAAAAGAAATACATTCATATTTACATAGAGAAATGAACAGAAAAAGTTGACTGTGGACATCAGGCAAATTTTCACAAAAAGAAAATGGTGAAGAAATAAGCAAAAAAACAAATATAACGTTTGGTACTAGTAATATATATGATCACCTCAACTTCATCAAGTCCTCTATTTGATCTATGAATTCCCGATATGAGCTTCTTTAGCAGTTACTCCATCGTTGACAAGGATCGATCCCATATCGAAAAAGGAAAAAATTTAAGAGATTTGGCACTTTTTTTTTTTTTTTTTGAATGATTATGTGGATGATGATTTTTCTCTTCTAGCCGTAGTTTCAGCCATTTGAGCCAAAGATTGAAGGTTGCAACGGACAATGGTATCAACAAAAATGCACGTATCATCTCTGGTGTTACCGGGCGGTATATCAACGATGAATGATTCGACGACAACTGTCCCATTACCATTAGGAAAAGCATGTAGAGTTGTGACAGACCTGTAATTGTTCAACCGATGATCACCTCCAACCACGCTAAAGCTAAGCACGTGATGTTCGTCGTCAAGGATCTCTAGCCTCTCCGTGCTGGAAGCCGCTGGCAGGCCGGACACCACTTGGACCTCACGGAGAGTGCCCACTTTGCCATCACCGACGATGACGTTGCAGCTCTTGAGGAAGTGTTTGTAAGCTTGAGGGTTATCAAAACGACGAACCACTGACCAAACCGTTTCGACAGGGGCTTCGATGGCTTGAACCACAGCTGAACAACACTGGTTAGGTCCAAGGGTGTGGATATGGTACGTTGCAACCGTGTCAGGTACCGAGACACCGCTAGGAAGAGGGAAAAACTTAGTCAGGGTGGTGGGCTGAGCTTGCTTATGGTGGCAGCGGCCAATGGTGGTGGTGGCTGTGAGGGGTCGTTGGAGCTGCAGAGGGGAAGGCATGGTGGCTAAGAGAATGAATGTGGGTTTGGATTATAGGTCATGTTAAACTTAAACGCATATGGCAGACTGCAGAGGTTGAAATATATGCAACAGAGATAAAAAAGGAGGGTTTTATAAATATAGAAAAGAGATCCATCCACTTGGAAGAGCTTTGAGGATTTCTTAGAGAAACGTTTTACGCCGGCGGACACTGCAAGTGGATCACCAAGTTGCAGTTTCTTTTGGACTGAGTTTAGGTAGATTATCCAATTATTTTATTCAAACTATAATGTTGTCATCTTATTGAATGGTCATAATAAATATGCCCACCATCAAAGGCTCAATAACCGAGTATCGTCTAGAAGTTAGAGGGTTTTGGTTCGAATTTAATCGGTAATATTTTATTAAATTCATATTAAAATTGTACTTTTTAAATAAACATATCGTACCTTAATAATCTAAAAATAATAATTAAATATATAATTTTTAATTATTGTTTTTAGATTGTCAGGATTTATATTTATTTTGATTTAAAGAATTAAAGAATTTATTTATTTTTAAATTTTAGAAGACTAAAATAATATACATGCTCTACTTTCTTAATTTTTTTTTAATTTTTATTTATAATACTGCTAAATATTTAATCAATAGTTAGATAAAATAATAAAAATATATCCTTAAACTATCCGATACAATATCTTATTCTGAGTTGAAAATTAAGCAATTGGCCTATCCTAATTTTAAAAAACCAAAATAATATGCCCTACTTTCTTAGTTAAATTTTTTATCAACATTTTGATAGAAAAATAAATAAAATATATATATTTTATGAAAGAGGATTATTTGAAATAGTAATAGTAGTACTTTTCTATGAATTATCAATTGCTGACTTCTAAATCTAATAAATTCAAGTGGAAATTCTTTCCTTACAATTGTGAATAATTTTCCCACTTGGCTCTATTAATTATATGCAACTTGATTCATAATATTATCATTGTTGTCCTCATCCATATCAACTACCCTACAAAATTAATATTCTTCATTTGAATTTATTAGATTTGATAAATTAATTTTTAATAATCAATTAAAATACTATTTATAATAATATTTTGTACTAAATATGATGATTGACATGTAACATTTTGAATTCTAACGCATTAAAAAAAATAAATTACTTAAAATAGTAATTTTAAAGAGTATTCTTGTCGTGCAATTTTATTTATTTTTTTAACAAATGAGACAAATAATTTGGTTTTATTATCTTATTAATAAAATTTTTTAGTAATTAACTAATTTTTTTAAAGAAATTAAGATGGTAATTGAAGTTATTTTAGATGTTTTTGTTTGGTAGCAAATGTTAATGGTTACAATAATAAGGGGACATTTTGTTTCTTTGGTGGAATACAATAAGCAGTTATCATAAGTAGGTCCACTTGAGGTAGAAAACAAACATTAAAGCATCAATTTCAACAACAATGTCAACATCATATTAAGTTATCTAAGGCTGAACTTTCTTTTCGCAATATATAGCAGCAACTTGTATAACTACTAATTCCTAGTGATCACTTGGCCAGCTGGGCTTCACTCAAATATTTATCATCCAAATTAATAAGCATTTAATTTTATATAATATATAGAAATAAAAAAAAGGGTTGCTGCCTATCTTTTGTATTAGTTGCATTTTCGAAAATATTTATCTTCGTAACGTTTTTTTCAATAAGATAAATAATAAAATAAAGAGGATTTAAAGGTAGGTTAAGAATTTCAAAAAAGAAAAAAAGGTTATATTTATTTTTAGACTAAATGTCATGAAATCTTTACCTTGATGGGGAATAATTAAAAAAAAAAAAAAAAGCTAAAATTGATTATTGAAACATGAAATTGAGAAATCATGTTGAACATATATATCAATAATATAAAAGAATATATTGTTCTTTCAAAGCTATTTCTATATTATTAATTATTATGATAAATAATATGTGGGTTTCATTTATAAAATTGAAAAAAAAAAAAAAGGACAAGCTAAATATTGCATTATTTCTTTTTCTAATTAATTTCTTAAAATGAACATTTGAAAATAAAAACAAAAAATAATATCATAAACAATATATTATAATAAGGGTTAGCTCAAATCTTCACTTATAATATCAAGTTGGTTCTATTTTCTTACCCACATTTAGCTTTAATCATCTCTATCTCTCTTTCTCTTTTTCTCTCAAAAGGCTCAAGAAAAACCCAAGTTGCTACCCTTTATTTTATTACTATAACTTTTGACATGATTCCCTTTGGTTCAGTAACTCTTATTTTTTCTCCACCTTCTCCACTTTTTTTCTCTTCTGTTCCAACCAACTTCCACCAACTTGCATGGTGCTTCATTTTGTGCTCCAATTATAAGAAAAGGCATCAATTTTTTTTCATGTCTAGATGAAGACTCTTAATTGAGATGGTTTTCTAAGTTTGTATCTACTAATCGATTTGTCAACGATTTGATTTCAAAACCAATAATTGTGTCAAATTGAAAATATTTTATTATATATTACAAAATATTATTTTTTTACAAAGCAGCTCGTAATCTAAAAGTAAAAGAAAGATTTTCAAATGCTGGCTTTGAAATTCAAACTTACTAAATTTCACTTTTTAAGTATGATTGTATGAATTAACTGAATTAAATTTCGAATTAAAAAAACTATTTTAGTTAGAAGCTTGAAATTAATTATTGTCTCCATTATTAATGAAGGTGGATTTTAAAGGAGAAACTATATTTTACCCAAAGGACAAAGAAAAAAACAGAAAAGAAGGTGAAAAAGGGGAAAAAAAAAAAAAAAAAAAAAGCATAGCTAAACCTAAACAACGAGAAAAAAATAATGGAATAAGTTCAGAAAAATGTTACTAATTTTAGAGTTCATAAGGTTTCCAAGATAAGCTGATAATCAAATACTAGCAGCCAAGTTGACTGATGAGGCCTATATAATAAAGTGGATATGTCAAAATGCCTGGTCAAGGAATGAATCTGGTAAGGGTCTGATCAGTAAGGAAGACAAAAAAAGTTACAGTTTTTAATTTTCAAGTTGGAATGTTTTTTAAGGTTGTCAACTTGTCATAAGTGTTTGGTTCATGGAACCTACTGCAAGAAAAGTTTACTCCCAAGAAAACAAATCCAAACAACTGTTATTATTTTATGGGTAATTTTTCATTGTTGAGGTCATTGTTGAGGTCATGGTTAACGTGTTTATAAGAAAAATGGCTTGTAACATTCCTGGTTTCAGGCTCTCATCCCCCCACCCCCACCCATGGATTTTGGCATTTAATCTCTTTCTCCATGGATTAATTATTTGTCAAAAGATATCTTTATACTGTGGCATTTGTATTTAAAAGACACCAAATTCTGCTTATAGAACTTTGATGGGTGCTTTCTTCAAAGAAAAGTTTCTGTCTAATGCATTAGTTCTTATACGATTGCATTCAAATCTCTATATAAGAGTTTTATTCAAGAGATCACTCATTCTAGTACTACTTATGCACTTATGGTCAAGAACACCGCTTTTAGATGTCATGGCTCAAACATGCGAAAGCGGCTTTAGGTATGGCTTGATAAACATGGCTCGAATCCCCCTCCTCATTAGGCTTCTTATCTACCAAATCACAAAAACAAAAACAAAAACAAAAAAGAATGATGCAGACATGGTTTAGTCATAACACAAATATAAACCACATTGCAATTTGAGCTAGGAAATACATGTAGAGTGAAATTAAGCAAAAAACAATGCAATAGCAACAATACATGAATGCAGGATGACCGAAGAGGAAGATCAACAGATTAACCATTGATCTTTTTCCTAAGTAGTCAAACAAGCTTGCATTCATTCTATTGATTATAGAATGCAAAGTATATTAAACCATAAAACTTGCAAACCATCATATCTTGAAGAATGGCGGAGTTTCACAGTAAAAGTTACTACCATTAATTGTCTTTCAGTAACTTAATATTAAGGCTCTCAGAAATGGTTATGCAGTTCAGCTTAAATCATACATACTGTAACTTAAAATGAGAAACGTACATGCTGAAATATGTATGAAATCATGCAATGATCCATCAGTAATGAATACCAAAAACATAATCAGAAGCAGCATGCCGAAATGCCAAAATCCCATCTCTTTCTCCACCGATTATCTTAACAGGTACTAAAGGAGACTCAACTACATTACATATACATAAAAATAGATGTCCACACATGCGTGGATATAAGGAGCAGTTAATCTTAACAAAAGTGAGAAAGTTTCTTACAGTTTTTACTGTGATAGGAAGCTAGTCTCTGGTCAACCTGTAGAAGCCTTTTCATTTTTCATTATCATATGGAATGACTTAACTCTGTCCTCTGCCACTATCTCCCTCAATACATCATCTTCAATCTTTTCTGCTTGCCACTGAGACGGGTCCTCCACAAATGCTTCACTGAAAATCATGCTTGATACCCATTCCTTCCATGTGGTCCTACGATACTTATCTTCTTCAAGTGTGCCTGTTGCCAAGAGCTGATAGACATAAACAACCTTTTGCTGACCAGGCCGAAAAGCCCGTGCAATAGCTTGCTTTGTCTTGGAAGGATTCCATTCTGAATCCAATAAAATCACCCGCGATGCAGCTGTCAAACTAATGCCTTCAGCACATGCTGTAATTGAAGCAAGTAGTATCCTTGAAGCGCCACCTGGTTCCTCAAACTTGTCCATCACTCTTCCTCTTTCAAATAGCTCCAAGTCTCCTGTAAGGACCAATATTTCTCTACCCTTCCGCCATCGAAAGACTAACTCAAACAATTCCAAAAACAGATTAATGGGGGCAATGTTGTGGCAAAAGATAAGAACCTTTTCCTTCCTGATGATTCGATAAACAAGGTTCAAAACAAACATCACCTTGGAACCTTTTTTAAAATCAAACTTCATTTTCTCAAGTTCCAGCAACTCTTCTGGACTGAAGAATTTACGAACACAGTTTGAAGTCCTAACCAAAGTAGGATGTATTGATGCAAGGGTTATCAAAAGTTCCAATTCTAATGGGTAGCCACTATATCCAGCCATTATGTTGTGAAGTTTTACCAAAATCTCATGTTGTATGTCTGTTGAGTTCATCATTAGGGTGTAAATTTGTAAACCAGGGAGGCTGTCAAAATTCCCACCCTCGTACACATCAATAAATCCATTTGTGATGTTTCTCAACATGTTAAGACCTTGCATCCTCTCTTCTCCTATGCTAGCATCA